AGGGGGAGGACTGGAGAGATGTCTTAGTTCTTAAGAGCACTGGCTGCTCTTCCAAAAGACCCAGGCTCAATTCCCAGCATCTGCATGGCAGCTCACAACTATCTGTAACTCTGGTTCCAGGGGATCTGATGTTCTCATACAAACATACAGGCAGGCACAACTTCAATGCAAAAAAGAAAGCAATCTACTGTATACCCTGAACATTTCAGGATGTTTCTTGCTGGATAGGCAAAGGAAACAAGATCCTGGAAGTTTTGTATCCAAGCCTTTGCTCAGAATTGTATTTTCAGAAAAGAATCAGAAGGGATAAGGTCATATCCCTTCCTGAGCAAAGAATAGACATGTTTACAAACCACTAAACCACTACACAGCTACCCACTAGGCCAGGCAGTGGTGGTGCATGCCTGTAATCCAAGCACTCGGGAGGCAGAAGCAGGTAGAACTCTTGTGAATTCCAGACCAGCCTGATCTACAAATCAAGTTTCAGGACAGGCTCCATCCTGTCCAACCCTGCCTCGAAAATAAACAAAGAAAAAAAAGAAAGAAAGAAAGAAAGGCCCCTCTAGGAACTACTTATGAAGAGGAAAATTTCTGGGAGTGGAGGGGACTAAAATATTTACATACATTTCATGATGAAATCATCATTACACATAACTAATATGTGCTTTTAAAAAAATAGGTACTGGAGAGGTGTCTCAGTAGTTAAGAGCACTGACTGCTCATCCAGAGAACCTGGGTTCAACTCCCAGTAACCACATGGTGGCTCACAACATGTTACTTCAGCCCCAGGGAATCTGGTACATTTCTCTGGCCTCCATGGCCACTGCATACATATAGCACACAGACAAACATTTATGTGAAACACATCTATACACATAAAATAAAAATACCAAACATAGCCTTAATTTTTTTTTAATGGGCCAGGAACAAAGGATTACCAGTCTATAATTCACAATCCCAGAGAAGCTAGGAAACAAGGAGGACGCTAAGAGAGACATGCATGGTCCCCCAGAGAAGGGAAAAGGGACCAGATCTCCTGAACAAATTGGGAGCACAGGGGGGAGTGGAGGAAAAAGGTAGGAGAAAGAGGAGAGGAGAAGAGTAGGAGGGAGGAGGACATGAAGGACCAGGAAGATCGAGTCAGGAAAGAATAGAGGAGAACAAGAAAAAGCGATACCTTAATAGAGGGAACCATTATAGGTTCAATGAGAAATGTGGCACTAGGGAAACATCCAGAGATCCACAAGGATGACCCCAACTAACAGTCTAAGCAATAATGGAAAGGCTTCCTTAAATGCCCTTCCCCAATAATGAGACTGATGACTCCTGGAACCTTCATCCAGTAGCTGATGGAAGCAGAAGTAGACACCCACAGCTAAACACTGAGCTGAACTCCTGGAATCCAGTTGCAGACAGGGAGTAGTTAAGACCAGGCTGGAGAAACCCACAGAAATAGCTGACCTAAACCAGGGGGAGCTCATGAACCCCAGTCTGACAGCTGGGAAACCAATATAGGACCAAACCAGGCCCCCTGAACATGGGTGTCAGTTAGGAGGCCTGGGCAGTCTATGGGACCTCTGACATATCCTAGCACACTTTGGGAGCCCATTCCCCCTAGAGACATGGGAGAGGGCCTAGGCCCTGCCCCAAATGATGTGACAGATTTTGAGGATCCCCCATGGAAGGTCTCACCCTCCCTGGGGAGTGGATGGAGGGGGCACGGAGGACAGGAGGGAGAGGGAAGTGGGATTGATATGTAAAATAAGATTGTTTCTAATTTAAATAAAAATTTATAATAAGAAAAAGTAAAAATGGGCCAGTGAGATGGCCTCATGGGTAAAGGTGCTTGCTGCCAACTTTGAGAATCTGAGTTTATTATACAGGAGCTACACAGTAGAGGGGAAAAAAACAAATACCAGAGGTTGTCCTCTGATCTCCACTCACACACCATGGCACCTGTGCCCTATATACACATAAGATCAGAAAACAAAATGTAAAAGAAATAAAAAAGAAATCCCCCCTCTAACTGGTCATAGTGGCTCCTGCGTATAATCCCAGCACCTGGAGAGGCTGAGGCATGAAGGATTGCCCAGAGTTGGAGGCCAGCTGTTGTGTCAGAGTAAAACCCTGTCTCAAAAACAAAACAAAAGCCACACAAAAGAGGGAGCCCCTGTGATAAGTTGGAACTGGAGCAGAGGCATGGATGAAGTGAGCAAACAAGGTCCTGAACAAGGACGGCCAGGCACTGGTGTGCCGGTGGGGCTCTTTATTGCTGGGCAAAGAGTAGAAGATGAGCTCAGGGAAATTGTCGGGAGCCAGGACACCTGGGGATCATGCCAGGTGTTTGCAGGGATACATAGGCTGGTTTGGACCAAGGAAGTTTCATGCTCTAATTTCTGTCTCAAAAGGACCTAGATGCTATGCGGAGAATAGCTGGCTGTCCCGGGAACCTTAGTGAGAGCACAGAGGAGGTCTAGGTGACATATGGCAGTGGCAGTCCTAGCTGATACTAAAGTGGTGGGATGTATCCCTAAAGTAGAACAGGGCTGGGTGTGGTGGTGCATGACTTTAATCCCAGCAGTTGGGAGGCAGAGGCACACAGATCTTTGTGAGTTCAAGGCCAGCCTGGTCTACAGAGCTAGTTCCGGGACAGGTTCCAAAGCTACACAGAGAAACGCTGTCTCAAAAAACAAAAGGGAAAAAGGTCACCTCACATTTTTATTCTGAACAAACTTAAGGATAGAGCTAGCTTTGGGACAGAAGTACCATTAATGAAGAGGCAGCTAACCTAAAGACCCATCTAGCACCTTATATGTCTGGAGCCAGAGCTAAAATGGCCCCTTAGAAAAAGGGGAGGGCTTGGGGAAATGGCTTTTTTTAACTATTGAAACAAGGGGGAGGGTAGCCTATGCCTCTAATCCTAGCTCTCAGGAGGCAGAGACAGCAGATCTCTGAGTTTGAAGTCAGCCTGGTCTACAATGTGAGTTCCAGGACAGCCAGGGCTAAAAACACAAAATTAAAAAACAAAACAAAACATAAGGGGTTAATAGCTAAACTACTTCCTGTTGTTTGGGGGTATTGAGTTATTGAGGCAAGCTCAGTCTTCATCATCTGGGTGTAATGGGGGTTGTAGCCACTAGGGCTGATAATCCTGTAATAAGAAGTGATTAAATGTCTGGTTAGAAATCTTTTGAATCTGCTGTTGAAGAAATCTAGACCAGTTTATGAGACAGGATGCAATTAGTAGGATTAGAAAAAGGAGGAGAAGGGGAGTTAAAAAGGGCAATATGTGGGCTGGGGCTATAACTTAGTGGTAAAATGCTTACTTAGCATTCACCAGATCCTGGGTTCCAATACTAGTAAGATTCTAAAAAGAGAAAACCATTCTAGCCCAGCAATGGTGGCTCACACTTTTAATCCCAGCACTCAGGAGGCAGAGGCAGACAGATCTCTGTGAGTTCAAGGCCAACCTGGTTCACAGTGTGAGTTCCAGGACAGCCAGGACTACATAGAGAAACCTTATCTTGAAAAACAAAAAAATAAAACAAAACAAAAAAGGCAAAGTCCAGTGCCATATTGGACTGTGAACAATCTACTGGCTAGAGGCCCTGAGCTGTTCCGTATGTTCTTCGAGATCTGTCTAGAGTTGTCAGATCTTGTCTTTTTTTTTATACCTGAGTGATTGACACAGAAGCGACATCCCTTCTTGAGGAAGAGGCAAAGGCCACTTTTCTCCACTGTTAGTAGCTCTAATATTTTCCAGTTTTCTTTAATGGTTTTCAAGTGGTTTGCATAGAAACAAGAGTTTCTATGCCATACAATAACCTTCTTGTCCTGCAAAAAGCAGATGAGTGCCCTATCATTTGTAGAACTATTTCAGCTAGTGAATTTGTCTGTTGATAGATTTGGATCTATTTGGTTTTAATAGATACCTTCCCTTGTACTTCAATAGGCATTATAGGTAGCCACTTTGTCCCCTGGGCCAAGGAGTTTCCTATTGACCTAGTATTCCAGCCGTTTGTGAAGGGGTAATGTACTATCTTCTGTAACTACCTCCTGCTGAAATGGAGGGCCAGAAGGGGATTCAGGCAATGGGTAGGCATCAGAAGCATCTGGTTCGCCCACCCAGCTGTAGAGACAGGGAGCAATCACATCCACCGGACTGGTTCACTTCACAGTTTCATCCAGTCCAGGGCTCAAAGCCAATTGGAACAGTTTGTAGGCCACAGCTGATTCCTGGATGGTGTGTGCCAGCCAGGAGGAAATGTGCTGAGACAGGTATAGACTAAGGAGAGAAGTTAAAGTTTATGAACCTAAACAAAAGTCACAAATTTGGAATTTCCACTGGTAGGTGGGGGAGGGGAGAAGTCCCAAGACTAGGGGAGGGAGAAATCACACCCTCAGGAATAGGCAGGTGAGGACAGTTGAGCTGTGCTTATTTGAAGAGATGGCTCAACCATTAAGAGCACCGCTTCTTCCAGAAGACCCAGGTTTGGATTCGGAATACCCATATGGCAGCTCATAACAATCTGTAAGTTCAAAGTATCTGATGCCCTCCCTCTTCCGGGCCCAGTGCACGTGGAACACATATACACATGTAGAGAGAACACTCATACACATAAAAACATTAAATTCAAAACTTTATAAAGAAATAATTTTTTAAGAGGATGGTAGGGGCTGGAGAGATGGCTCAGCAGTTAAAGGAATACATACCACCCTTGCGACCTGAGGTTCCCATAACCCTTTTCAGGTGGCTCAGAACTGCTTGTAAAATCAGTTCCAAGGACTCCAACTCCCTCTCTGCATTCTGAAGCCACCTCTATTCACATGAACGCTGGCGCGCGCGCGCGCGCACACACACACACACACACACACACACACACACACATATACACAAAATTAAAAATAAAAGAAATCTTTGGGGGGGGGGAAAGAGAAGGCAAAGAGGTATCGGTTTCTTTAAGAGTGCGGGCTGGCAGAAAGCCCCGCCCAGACTGCAAGCCCCGCTCCGCCCACTGGAGGCGGGACTCGGGCGGTTTGAAAGGTCCGCGCGCTCAGCTGGGTGGCTCGACTACGGCTGAAATGTCGGTTCTGAGGCCGATGGACAAGCTGCCTGACCTGAACGCGGCCACAATCTTGGTAGGTGCGGGCCTGTGTGCTTCCTGGGCTTCCCGCAAGCCCAGGCCTGTGTGCTTCCTGGGCCTCAGCACTCTCGGACAGGCGAGGTGGGCGGGCGTACTACTCTGAACCAATAGGAGCGGCGGCCCGCGATTCTGACTGACGCCTTCACCAATAGGCGCACGGCTGGCTCTACAACACGCTTGCGTGGGCGTTCCAGTTTGAACTTGGGTTTCCCGCTTTCTAAGAGGGTCGCTCGCTGGACGATCTCTCTCGGAGTGTGGCTCCTCGGGGTCCCCTTCTCGGGAAATGGAGCTCTCCAAGCCGCCTCTGGCTGGGTGTGTATCCCCCAGGAGGGACTCAAAGTCCAGAGGAGCCGCCCTGCTCGGGTCTTCATCTGTCTGGTTCTCTCCCTTCGCAGCTGGTGGGCACGGAGGATTCGCTTCTGCAGAAGCTGGCAGAGTCCATGCTCCAAGACCACTGTGCATCTGAGCTGAGGGTGTAAGTTGCTGAGGTGTAGCCTGAACTCTCTGAGCTGGCCTGAGGGGAAGGGAAGGGAGCCTGCGAGAGAGGGCCCAACTCCTCCCAGTTGCCACCCTGGTTCTGCTCACTCTTGCGGAGCTGACTCCTTTACAAGTCTCTACAAATGTTCATTATTCATACAAATGCCAAAAACCCACTTACTCGTTGACGTTCTGTGTTTGGTCATCGGCGCCTAAAAACAAAGCGGAGGTATGTGTCTTGATTTCATTTCCTTTTGCTGAGACAAAAGATAAAATACCCTGACAAAAGCAGCTTAAGGACGAAAAGACCTACTATTGCTCGTTGCCGGAGAAGTCCCTGCTGCAGGAGCAATCAGTCACATTATATCCACAGTCAAAAGGAAGGAAGGAATGCGTGCTCATCTGCCTTAGCCCAATTAAGAAATTAAAAAGAAAAGAAATCCCTCATAAGGCATGCCCACAGGCAAACTTAATCTAGACAGTTTCTCACTGAGACTCCCCAGGTGACTCCAGATTGTGTCAACATAACAAAAATATGGGGCTGGAGAGATAGCTCAGTGATTAAAAACACTAGCTGTTCTTCCAGAGGTCCTGAGTTTAATTCCCAGCAGTTACATGATGGCTCACAATCATATGTAATGAGATCTGGTGCCCCCTTCTGACCTGCAGGGATACATGCAGACAGAACACTGTATAATAAACAAACAAATCTTTAAAAGAAAAAGTAACCATGACAGAGGGTGACCAAAACCCCTGGAGAGTGGAAAATAAACACCATTTAGAGCCAAACATGAGAGGCATTTATAAGGTCATTCTGTTACACTGTTACATATGCAGTTTCAGACCCTGACTCAACAAACCAAAACACAGAGAAGTCATTTCCCCACCTGTTTACTTGTTTCTGGCCCTCCCCTCCAAACACACACACACACACACACACACACACACACACACCAGTCCCTAAGGATAGAGACTCACATTCATGGGTGATTCCCCCCCAGGACTTAAGCAGAAACTAACACAGAGTAGCTCAGTTAATAACTATTGAGTTAATCTGGTTAATTCATGATCCAAGAAATGTAGAACTGTAAAGCAGGGATTTCTAAGGGTAGAATGGTGAAATGAAAGCAAGCTAGTCCAGGGAGATTAATTAGAAAATAGCAAGAATTTTAAAGCTTCGATGGTTGGGGGGGGAAAGGTTCTGGTGTGTTTTACCTGCAACAAATTCTGAGAATTCTTTATTGCCCCCAGTTTTGGGAGGAATAGTAATTACTATGTTTTCCCTTTACTTTTCTAACCTTACTAGGCTTGGGGATGGGAAACACATTAACACCACACCAATCTCATAACTCAGAAATAGAAAAGGATTTATTCTTATCTTTATTTTATGTTGAATCAGTGTCTTGCCTGCATATATGTCTGTGTGAGGATGTGAGATCTTGGAGTTACGGACAGGTGTGAGCTGCCATATGAATACTGGGAATTGAACCCAGGTCCTCTGGAAGAGCAGTCAGTGCTCTTAACCACTGAGCCATCTCTCCAAGCCCTAGAAAAGGAGTTTTAGAAATTTGTTTGCCCTTGAACAGTGAGCTTGTAATCCCAGCTACTAAATAAATCAGAAGAGGGAGATGTGTCTTATGTACTTTCAGCTGGGCCTGATGGCACAAGACTAATCCCAGCATCCGAAATAGAGGCAAGAAGGATCAGGAGTTCAAAGGTTAGCCTCAACTACACAGAAAGTTAAATGCCACACTTGGGCTACATAAGACCATGTTTTAGGAAAACAATATGACAATTTTAAAAGTAAATGTTATACTTTTGTTGGTATTCCTTGAATTATAATCTAAGAAAGAGTGATGGGCCAGGCATGGTGGTGTTGGCCTTTAACCCCAGAGATTGGGAGGCAGAGGCAAGAGGGTTTCTATGAGTTCAAGGCCAACCTAGTCTACATAGCAAGTTCCATGACAGCCAGAATTACATAGAGAGATCCTGTCTCAGAAAAAAAGAAGAAAGAAAAGAAAAAAGAAAGAGTTCGATGTATACAAAGAATGGGCAGAGAATTCAATAAAGGCCTTCAGGTTGGGTGTTTGGCAACTAAAGCTAGCAAATGACAAAACTGTGTCAAGCCTGCCTCTACCAAAGGGATTCAATCTTATCCCTTAACCAACTCAGCCCAGCACCCCTCCCAGAGAGGTGTGGGTAGAGCTGGCTGTGTCCCACCAACTGGGTAGTGCTGAATTCCCTCTGAGGCAGCTCCTTTTCCTCTAAAGGACAAACTGTGACAGTCACTGTGAGGTGGATATGTGTCTTTAGTCCTGCACTTTCTTGTTTTTCAGCCACTTGGCCAACTCCCTCCCTTTGCCCTCCACTGTGAATCGGCCCCGAATTGACCTGATTGTATTTGTAATTAACCTTCACAGCAAATACAGGTGAGAGCCAAGACTGGACTTGGGAGGGCCTAGCTTGGCCATGTGCTGGAACAGTAACCTTAACCTTAAGATGGGAAAGCAGGAGGCAGTGAGAGGCTGCCCCGGGGTGAGGAGGGAGGGCTGGCAGGGCTTGAAAGACAAATCATGACAGTGTCACCCGTTCATTTAGCACATGCATGTCTAGTGCGTAAGGGGGCCAGAAAAGAGCATGGTTATCCCTCTGCAATTGCAGTTACAGACAGTTGAGGGTGGCTGTTCTGGGATGCAAACTCCGATCCTCTGGAAGAACAGTGAGTGTGCTTAACCTTTGAGCCCTCTCTCCAGCCCAAATTCCTGCCCTTGTTTTATTTATCTTGTTTGTAGCATTGTGGGCCAGTATTCTGCTGAGGTTTTCCACACTAGGGGTCAAATTTCAGAACATGACCTCTTAGCACTGCTAAGAGCACTTAGCAGTCAAGAGTCGGATAGTATAGGACAGTATTTGAGAAAAGCACAGGTGTTTAAGCACACCACTGTATTTGTACCCCACACTGTTGGCAACAGTTTCTTCTGGAGAGTTGGCAGCGAAAAGCCCTCAAAGAGGATTCTTTAAAACGCACGCGCGTACACACACACACACACACACACACACACACACACACACACACACACGGCTTGGTGGTTATAAAAGTTTGGTTACCAGCACCCACAACAGGAATTTCAGAATCTACTATTACTCCAGCTCTGGTGGAATTCAATGTTTCTGGTCTCCATAGACACCAGCAATGGTGTATACCAAAACACATACAAGCACTGATCAAAACATAGTTAATAAAATGAAACAGATGGGAGGATATGGCATTTGGAATATGGAGACAGGAAGATCAGAAGTTCAAGGTCATCTTTAGGGCAGCATGAACTACATGAGATCTTGACTCAGAAGGGGGAAGGTAGGCAGCAAAATGGCTTAGTTTAAACCTGAGTTCAGACCCCAGGACTCAGTATGATCCTCTGACCCACACAAGTACCTCACGGCACATTCCATGAATGTGTGTACACACACGATAAATATTTTTAAAGAATCACCCAGATTGTAGCTAGGCATATTGGTGTATGTCATAATCCCAGCAATCAAAATGCTGAGACAGGATGATCAGGAGACAGAGGCCAGCTTGAGCTACACAGTGATATTGTTATGAATATGGTGTGAGGTGTGACCTTTGGTGGATTCCTCAGAGAGACAAATATGCAATCAGGCAGGACTTGTGCGAAAATTTTATTGGGGGAAGGGAGTAAGGGAAGGGAAAAGAGGAGAGAGACAGAGACCTATCTGCCTCTTCAGAGAAAAGCCAGGAAAGAGAGCAGAAGTGGGTGGTGCTTGCCTGGTAGAGGGACCTTTGCAACTGCAAACAGAGCCAGGGTACTGCCTGCCCCTGCCAGGTTCCCAAGGGGTGGGGCCAGGTTTGCATTTGCCTGGATGCTAACAAGCATCCTATCTCAAAAAAAAAAAAACATGGGGGAGGGGTTGTTCTTGAGACAGGGTTTCTTTAAGTAGCCCAGAATGTCCTGGAACTTGATATGTAGACCAGGCTGGCTTCAAGTTAGAGATTTGCCCACCTCTGCCTCTATGCCACAAGCAGGGCTGTGTTGTAAAATTCTGCTTTCTGTCGTTTTCTCACTTGGTCTTGTATCCCAGCCTCCGGAATGTGGAGGAGTGTCTGAGCCACGTGGACAGCAGCTTCTTCCTGGGAAAAGTATGTTTTCTCGCCACAGGGGGTGAGTATGGCACCTTTCTGCTGCACTCCTACTTCAGCTTGAGCAATGGCAGTTATGACCTTGTTGAGGTGGCATGCAGAGAAGTTTTCCTTACCCAGCTACTGACTTTATCTTTTGCCTGAGGAGGTCATAAGAGGGCATGGGACCTTCTAGAACTGGAATTACAGTTATAGATGGTTGTGAGTCACCATGAGTGCTGGGAGTTGAACCCAGGTCTTCTAGAAGAGCAGTTTGTGCCCTTAACTACTGAGCCATCTCTCCAGGCCCATTTAAGAATGTACTTTTGTTTTTGTGTTGAGACAGGATCTCACTGTGTATCCCTGTCTGTTCTAGAACTCACTATGTACATGAGGCTGGCCTCAAACTCCCAGAGATCCACCTGCCTTTGCCTCCTGAGTGCTGGGATTAAAGGTGTGTGCCACTAAACCAGGCACTACTACTTTCTAACTTGACCCTGTAGGTAATTCTGCTCTTGCTTGGGGTTCCTTGCTGACTCCTGTGGCTTCCAGAGTGAAATTAAAATCAATCCTCTAGAGACACAAAGTAACCCTGGAAGTGGCACACACCTACAATCTCAGCACACTGGATAATACTAAGGTACAGCATGCAGGGGAATTACTGAAAGTTCAAGGCCAGCTTGACAACCTGGTGAGATCGTGTCTCAAGGATTTTACAATTGGTCTCTGCCTTTGTGTCTAGCCTTAGCCTCCACTCCTTTCTTTCTCATTCTTTGGGTCAGCCTCAGTTCTCTGAAAAAGGCCCTGTAGGCCCTGAGATGAGGCAGTATTATTACTGGTAATCGCTGGCTCTCTCTACACCAGACACTCTGGGTTTTTATTATAGTCTTTGAGGTAGGCATTACCTCAGGTTCACAGCTGAGGAAACTGGTTGTAAGGTTAAGTGGCTTGCCCAGGGCCCTACAGCTCAACAAGCCAAGCTTCATAGTCCTGCAACTGGGCCATCCATCACCTTCTTTTGTTTGGGTTTTTGCTTTGTTTCATTTTGTTTCTTTGCATTTTGAGACAAGGACTCTATGTAGCTCAGGCTATCTTCAAACTCCAAGTGTCACCATGCCTGGCATCAAGACTATCCTCTGAGTGATTTCTGTGGGGCTCCTGTCAGGTACTATTTCTCCTCTTTGTCTTGCTAACTCCTTCAGGAACTCCAAAACACTGTTCAGTGTTGATGTCTGTCTGATCACACTGAGTCCCTGGAGAGGGAGAGTCTCTCCTTGATGCTGATGATGGTGGTGATAGTGATGGTGAATACTGATAAACAGGTGAATGCCTGGAATTCCTCAGTATCAACTCACTGACTGAGCAGCTCTGTGTAGAGGGTGCTCTTATCCTTATTTCAAAAGTGAAGAAACTCAGCCAGGTGGTGGTGGTGCATGCCTTTAGTTCCAGCACTTGGGAGGCAGAGGTAGGTGGATCTCAGTGAGTTCAAGGCAAATCTGGTCTACAGAGTGAGTTCCAGGACAATCAAGACTGTTACACAGAGGAAACCAGTCTTGAAAAAAAAACCAAAAGAAAAAAAAAGTAAAGAAACATTTTAAGCCGTTTCAGCCTTGTAGTCTAATGTGATGGTCTTGACTGCTCAGAAAAGAATGACCAGGCATGGTGGTGCACGCCTTAATCCCAGCTCTTGGGAGGTAGAGGCAGAGGCAGGCAGGTCTCTAGCAGATGTAGTCTGAACTGTGTCTGGCTTCTTTGCAGCTGGACAGGAGAACCACTGCAGCATTCACCAGAACACAGTTATAAAACTGGCCCACACCTACCGAAGCCCCTTGCTCTTCTGTGACTTAGAGGTGAGAACCCTGGTCATTGTGGCAGTATTATAATTCAGTACAAGGAAAGGGCAGTGAGAACACAGTGAACACATTGGGAATGCATGTTGAAGGATCACCAAGTATCCAGGTGAGGTGGCCTGGGTATGGAGGGAGGCAGGTAATTCTGGTTAAGGCTTAGCTTTTAAGTCCTACGTGCATATTTGAAAGTCTTGGTTAACAATGCTCATCCTACTGGGGGATAAGTACTTATGAAGTGTCTTTGTGTCTTCAGACACCACATATCCCCTTTTTTGTCTAAAAATAAAAAGTTATAACATAAGAAAAATTATATACAGTAAGTACAGTAACTATACAATATGTACAGGCAAAAAGTACATCAGCAATGTCTAGTCCATTTGCATTTGATAAATGCAGAGAAAATACTCCATTATCTATCCTATCTTGGTGAGTTCAAAGTCTTGTACCTAATTTACTTTCTATTCTAATTTCATTATCAAATTATCTTTTAATGTCTCTAAACCTTTCACACTTTATGCATGTTTAGTGAGTTTCTTTTCTGAGTCTCGTAAACAATGAAAACTATAACTATCTAGTCTTAACTCCCTCAGAAACCCAAGAAGGGAATAATATTATTTACTGAGTAAACAGGAAGTACAAGCAACTGACTTCCAAAAAATGTCCTTTCTGTCTAATTGACCAATGTTTCCTCATGTCTTTCTGACAGTCATAGTGACTGATGTCATCCTAACTTCCATGGGCTGCAGACCTTGTCTGTAGTGTCATCACAGGGCAGGACACACAGCAAATACTGTGGGTGTTTATTAGATGGACAGGTACATAGCTGTCCTAATTAGCTTCTGTAGGTGTTGTGTGCACATGTAGGGGGGATCATGTGCCTGTATGTGCCCCAAAGCCAGAGAAGGGTGTCAGGTGTCCTCTATCACACCCTGCCTAATTCCCTTGAACAGGGTCTTTGCTGAATCTAGAGTTAGATTGGTGCCTATATAGCCCCAGCAATCCTCCTGCATCTGCCCCTTCCTTCCCCCTACAACACTAGAGTTCCTGGCACACACAGCCATATACAGCTTTTGATGTGGCTGCTAGGATCAGGATGCATGCTTGTATAACAAGCACACTTAACCACTGAGCCAGCTCTGGAGCCCCAGAGGAATTGCATTTGCATTGATATGTGGTGTTGTTCAGCAGGAGTTAATATATGCTCCCAGGATGAATTACTGAAGGTTCTCTGAGTCCAAGCTGCCCTACCCCCTCACTTAACCTACTCAGTTGATCTAGGGGTCTTTTTGTTAGTTTCCAGGTTCATTTGAACACTTGTGTCCTGGGTCTGGTGCCTTTTCCCTAAGACATAGTGACTCCATAAGAACCAAGGCAGGACAAAGATCCCACACATCCTGTGCCCTGGGTTTCCTGTTATATGGTCTGTGGATTATGCCCGTGACGGCAGAATTTAGGTGATCTATAAATTGAATGAGAAGTAGTACTTACTCCTCCCCCACAGCACTATACTAGCCTCTAGCTGGAATTGAGCTCATGAGTTAGATTAGCCAAGAATGTCAGTGGGAATAGCCAAACTAGCAGTTACTAACAGACATAGCATAGACTGGAGTCCTGGCTTATTGGATACGAGCATTTGCTGTTCTTACAGAGAACCTGAGTTTGATTCTCAGCATCTACATAACAGCTCACAACTCTCTATAACTCCAGTTCTCATACCCCTGACCTCCTTGGGCACCAGGCACACACACGGTACACAGACATACATGCAGACAGAACACCCGTACACATAGAGGTACTGATGTTTTCATTTACATGTTAGGGCAATGTAACTCATGACTACTGTGTTCTGGCTGCTAAACTGCCCCCAAGGTCACCCTAGACCAAAGCATTGGTGGGGGTATACATATATTCATTGCACATCTGCACATCCGTCTTTTCTTTTTTCCTTTTTTTTTTTTTTTTTTTTTTTTTTGAGACAGTGTTTCTCTGGAGCCTGTCCTGGAACTAGCTCTGTAGACCAGGCTAGACTCAACAGACATCTGCCTGCCTCTGCCTCCCGAGTGCTGGGATTAAAGGCATATGACCCCAACGCCTGAACATTTGTTTTCAGAATCCTTGACTAGATCCAGGCTCTGATAGGTGACAACACCCTGTGCCCCTGGCACACCTGAAGTGTCTCACCCTCCAGGCTTTCCTCACAGCAAACCTCTGAGAAAGCACTCCAAAAAGAGTCATCTTGCTCAGTTGCACAGTAAGTTATGGCCAGCCACTTAGTGTGCAGCTGTTTCCCCAATTGTGGCCTCCTGACTAGTTGGCTTTGAGCAAGTCACCTTACTGAAGAATCCTCTTTGCTTCACAACTCAGGTGCAGGTAGTGGCTGTGGTGCCTGCTAACCCTGTGACAGGCCCTGTTGCAGTTTCCTATGTGGCCATGTGGTGGCAGGCCACACCAGTTTTTGAGTTTCCATGCTGAGGCCTGGAATAATAGGGCAGTCAGTGATGAGGCTCAGCAAGTGAAGGTACTTGCTGTCAGCCTGAATGCTGTCCCTGAGCCCCACAAGTAAGAAGGAGAGAATGATTCCTTGCAAACTGACCTCTGACTTTCATGCATATGTGTACACACGTGTATTCTCTCTCTCTAAATGTAGTTTTAAAAAGAAAGTAAAGTCGTAGGGCCAACTATGTAGGAAAGCATAGGCTGCCATCTGTTTCCAGCTGGCAGCAGGGTTACAAATACCTGCCCATAACATGCCTAGGTCCGTCAGATGAAGAGCCCCATCTCTGCACTATTGGTCTCTCCCTCTCTCTCTCTCTCTCTCTCTCTCTCTCTCTCACTCTCTCTCTCTCACACACACACACACACGCCTGTCTTAGTTGTACTTCTTAGAGCATCATTTTTGTCTTACCAAGTTGGAACCTCAACATATTTGGAGGCCGTTGTGTGACAAGAGTTGCTAGTTCTCTCTTTAATAGACTGGGAAACACCTTTCTCAACCTGTGGGATGAGACCCCTTTGGGGGCCACCTATCAGATACCCTGCATATCAGATATTTACATTATAATTAATTTCTCCTTTTTTAACATGATTCATAACCATAGCAAAATTATAGTTACGAAGTAGCAACAAAATAACTTTATGGTCAGGTCACCACACCCTGAGGAACTGTATTAAAGGGTCTCAGCATAGGAGAGTTGAGAGCACTGGTCTAGGAGGTGTGCCATTCACCCAGTGCCAGTTGTCTACCAGCATGGCCTGTGTTGGTGCTTGGAAATACAAGTAAAGCAAACACTGGCCCTGCCATTTTAGAAATTAGTGAGGTGGTTGGCAGCCTAGCAGAGCATGTCTTCCCACATGACGTGGACAGAGTCATAACTGTGGTCAGAATGGTGTGGTGCATTCGTGGCTAGAGACAGCTATAGCACTCAGACTAGAGCAGCAATAGATTGGAGATAGAGAATTTGAAAGAAGGGGATTCAAAATACCTCTCACATGAACACAGTGTGCCAAGCACTGTTGTAGGCATTAGAGACAACCACACAGAACAAAATAGTAAAATTTATATATATACCCTGGCTGTACTCTAGTCAGGAACACAGACAGGCTGCTTGTGCTTGTTTGTTTTCAATGTGAAAAAGAATGACTAGAGCTGGGAGATGATAGCTCACACCCTTAATCCTAGCTCCTGGGAGGCAGAGGCAGGTGAGTTTGAGGCCAGCCTGGTCTACAGAGCGAGTGCCAGGACAGCCAGGGCTATACAGAGAAAACCTTATCTGAAGTAAGAGAGAGAGAGAGAGTGATAATGAATGGGAACCTGGATGTAGCTTTATGGGTAGAATGGATACTGAGAGGGATATCTTGTGTCTCGGCAACAGCCATCATGTTATCTGGCAGAACAGTGCCAGATAAGAAAATGGAAAGTGCAGAAGGCTAGAGACTGCCTGTTGTGGTGAAGTCCCCCAGGGAGGCCTGGGCAGGAGTAGCTGAAACCTGGAGAGCAGAGCAAATGAAAATGTTAGTAATGGTGGGGTTAGGTCATAGAGTCAGTAAACGCAGTAAGTAGCTTTACTCCAAATAAAACTGGAGTTGCTGGAAGTTTGGGGCCCAGGGGGCACGTGGCTTTTCTCAGGCTGTGAGAATAAATGAAAAGAGAGGAGGGCAGACATGAGGAAGGTTTAGAGATTTTTCTTGAGGGGTTGAATGAGCTGGAGTCGGTGGTGTCTAGAGAAGAGTGACATGGAATGGTCTGAAGTCCTTGTTTCCTGGACAGTCAACAGAATGCTGGTAGCTAGATGTGAGGTGACAGCAAGACAAGTCAGGGACAACTGAGTCTTCTGGCATGACAGCTGGTAGAAATGAGGCAGAGTTCCAGGAGCAGAGTCAGTGACAGGCTGACATCGTTTGCTCTTCAGCAAGGCAGATGTTTGTGTCACTTACTTGTCCAGAACTCACTGGTCCAGGTCCAGTACAGCTCCTTAACCACTGGTTGCCCTGGGCCCTCCATCCCAATAAAGGACATGTGGATGTGGGTGACATGTCCTTATCTGTGTTGACTGTTCTGTGACTGTTTTGTTCTGTGTCTTCCTGGGGTGCCTGTCAGTAGCTGGGACTAGCCTTAGTTGAGATCCCAGTTTTGCAGTCACCCTTGTGTGACCCTGAACTTTGTACTTAACCTTACCAGTCTTTTTGTTTGTTTGTTTGATTGGTTGGTTGGTCATGACAGGGTTTCTCTGAGTAGCCCTGGCCATCCTGAACTCACTCTGTAGACTGGGCTGACCTCAAAATCAGAGATCAGCCTGCCTCTGCCTCCTGAATGATGGGGTTAAAAGCCTGAGCCACCATCGCCTGACCAGACCTTACCAGCCTTGTCTTCTTATTTCCCCTTGATCAGGGCTCACAGTCTCTGGGTGTCTCTAGGTTTTGAAAACAAGATAGAAAGCTACCTAGTAAGGTGTGGCAAAATCATGGAGTACCCCTGCGTCTCAGCCCTGAGTTTTGCCTTGGCAACTGCATTGCACTTGGCCATAGGGCCAGCCACCCCCTCACCGTTGTTCTTTGCTCTTCCCTGAAGGTGGAAAGCTTTCGAGCCATCGTGGCACAGCGCCTGGTACGCATGCTGCAGATCTGTGCTGGCCACGTGCCAGGTATCTCTGCAGTGAACCTGCTGTCCTTGCTGAGGCGCTCCGACAGCCCCCCATCCAAGGAGCTGTGAGCACTGCTGCCCTCCCCACATTTGGCTCTGGCTCTATGAGCAGTCAGTATTGGTGAAGACCGGTCAGGGCCTGACATGCCCTGGAGGCAGCCTGCACACTACAGGACTGAGTTCTGCTCCACCAGGCAGAGCTAGGCAGGAGTGGGAAGGAGGCCATCCATTGGAACCCCATGCTATCCGGCTCACCCCACAGAGGCTCCACCCATGTCTTTACTGTCTGATAGGATATATCCACCTCAGATTTCTTTGGGACAAAGAGCCATGACCAAAAAAAAAAAACAAACAAAAAAAAAAAAAACTGAAACTCTATCTCACCTAGTATTTGACTTTGTAAATGAAGAAACTGAATCAGTACAATTAAGGGGGCAGATGGTGGCCTCCAGGAACCCAGTGAAATGTCACATGCTAGCCCCTGCTTCTCTGATAGCCTGGCGGTTGCTCCCGAGACCTGTTTCCCTGATGTAAATGGAAATGGTTCCACTCTTGTCATGTTGAGAAGATTGAATGAAATGAAGTGGCATGCTGCCTGAAACCACATTACTCCCTATGACTTGTCTGTCTGTCTGGTACATCAGACACAGCATCATGCCCAGTACAGCTGCAACAAGGCACTCAACAGTCACAATCATGCAAAACCAGACTAAGAGGATTCTTTTTTCTTTTTTTAAAGATTTATTTATTTACTGTGAATAGTGTTCTGCCTGCATGTATCCCTGCAGGCCAGAAGAGGGCATCCATTCTCATTACAGATTGATCGCAACAGGACTGTGGAAGAGAGCCAGTGCTCTCAATCACTGAGCTATCTCTGCAGTCCCCCCACCCCCACGCTGATTCTTAAAACTATCACACATCAGGACACCAGCAAGGTCAGAGTGTGAAAAGTGAGTAGCCAGCTGGGAGCCATTGCACGCTTACCCTCAGATCCAGAGGGAAGTTTGTAGAAAGGCCAGGGACTGGGGAAGTTCTGTTAGCCCCAGTCAAGGTTTCCAGTACTGCAGGAGGGGACCTGGGGACCTGGGGGTTCTGTGACAGCATAGAAGGCCTTCATCAATAGTTGGCAGGGACAGCCTCTGCTTGGATGTCACAGGCTGTAGCTACCTTTCAAAACAGCCCAATGACCTGCCCTAGTATGAAGAACTAGACATTCTTGTCTGGTTTGTTGTTGTTTGGTTTGTGTGTGTGTGTGTGTGTGTTGGGTTTTTTGTTTGTTTTTGAGACAGGGTTTCTGTATGTATTAAACTGAGTAGCCCAGGGTGGCCTTGAACTCAGAGATCCACCTGCCTCTGCATCCCAAGTGCTGGGATTAAAGATGCAAGCCACCACACCCAGCTAGACATACCTTTCTGACTTTATGGCAGTCCCTTTGGTCCCAATAGGGACCTTAGCTGTGTAGATCCCTGTGAGGCCATACATGTCATCTGATAACTAGCAGAGCGCTTCATGCTTCAGAGTCTAGCTCAAGCAGCAGCTTCTGTCAACCCCTCATCATGCCTGCAGCATTGCTGATTCCCCGTTTCAGGACTCATGAGACAGACTTCACTGGATGTGTGTCCAAAGTCATAGCCAGTAGATGGCAGGCCTGCGTGTTCCCCAGTTGTGTGTGGCTCAAGAAAGGTGTGTCATGTCCCCTGGGAAGGCCTGAGATAGGAACACAAGGTTTTGAGCCTGAGAAAGCAGCAGTCTTTGGGGCATAGTCCCCAGGGCCCTAAAGTGGGGTGGGAAGGCTGATGGAATGGCACCTAAGCCAGGGAAGGCAGCATGGGCACACCTCCTCTGTTTATTCACCTGTCACCTCTTGCTGAAAATCGGAAGCTTCGCCCCTTACTCCTAGCCTCACTAGCACAATGTGCCCATCTCTCCCTCAGGTCCCTATGCCACATTTTCTTTGCCACCTGGTGCCATTTAACAAGAGAAGTGGCATCACATTCCCCAGTGAAGGCCTGGGAGCCTTCCAAGTGCTGGGGGAGCTGGAGGCTGTCACTACTGCCAGCTCCCTGCCAAGCTTGGCAGGGACCCTGGAACTAGAGGCGCCTCTCTGGGGTTTGGGCTGGCCTTCCCCTGCTGCACAGCAGGACTGAGCGACACTTAAATGGCAGTCAGGTGCCTCAGACCTTACTGAAGACAGCAGGGAGCGGTTGCTCCTGGCAGTGTGTGTGACTAAGGACCTGAGAGCTGAGCTTGGTGCTGAGGTGGAGTAGTCGGGTGGCTCAGGACTCTTGAATGGGGGAGCTGTCAGATGCCTGCAACCTGAGTCAGGACTAAGAGCCTCAAGGAGAGTCTTCTTTACATCACACATTTGTCCCTAGGCTACCTGGCATGGGCGGTTCTTATACCCCTCCAGGAGCTCAGTTCTCTGCAGGAGGGTGCCCACCCAAGTGTTGTGGCAGTGATCTGCCATAGTTGTCCCTGCCTAATTGGTGGTGACTGACCAGCCATTCCTATAGAGGGGAGGAAGCTGCAGAATGGCACCAAGGACCCTCCACCCAGCTGGGTGTGGCTTAGCTAGCAGAGGTGGGAGGAACAGTGATGTTTTTTCAGGCCAGCCTTGGCTACAGTGCAAGGGGTGAAGCAGATGAGGCAGTCTGTGGGGTAAAATTGCATTTGCTTGACTTCTGTGTAAAGGTAAGAGAGAACACACTGAAACTTGTCCTCTGGCCTCACACACATTATGCAATATTAATACATTTTACAAGGGGCAGGGGTGTAGTTCAGTTGGTAGAGTGCTTGCCTGGCCTGTGTGAAAACCTAGTTCAATCCATAGCACCCCGTGGAGGCATAATGACTCAAACCAGTAATCCCAGCACTCAGGGGTGGAAGTTCAAGGTCATCTTCAGCTACACAGTACATTTGGTGCCAGTCTGGGCTACATGAGACCCTGTCCAAACCAGGGCCAGCGAGGCAAGATGGTTCAGCTGGTAAGAGCCTGGTGCCAACCCTTGTGACCTGAATTTCATCTCCAGAACTCATTCCTGAAACTTGTCCTTTGACGTCAATATGTGTGTCCATGCTTCCCCCCCCCCCCCCAATGTCATTTAAAGCGAAACAAAACGCTTCAACCCAATAGAACAGAGGCCTGGGCTGCTTGGCCACAGCGGAAGTAGTGAAGTGAGAAGGGCCCAGGCCCTCAAGTCTCACTATCAGGCCTGTGACTCGGAGCAGCACGCTTTCCTGCGTTGAGCCCCACTGCTCTGCCTCTTTGGGTTCTCATGGCTGGAAACAAAAGCCTGATCCTGCTCTGCCCTCCTGAACCAGCACATGACTTTGCTTGCCAGGGTGGAGGTCAGCGTCAGATGTCTTCCTCTACCATTCCCCATATTGATTTTGAGTCAGCGTCTCTCACAGAACCCCAAGTAAAATTTTTAATACTTTATTTAACTTTATTTTATGTGCATTGGTGTAAGGATAACAGATCCCCTGGAACTGGAGTTACAGGGGAGCTGCCATGTGGGTGCTGGGAATAAAACCCAGGTCCTCTGGAAGAGCAGTCAGTGCTCTTAACCACTGTGCCATCTCTCTAGCACCCCAAGTAAAATTTTAAAACAAAAGGATATCCCTCATTCTCTGCTGCCCTCCTTGAGTTTTTCTCCCCAGCCCTTCACCCACTAGATTGGTTCCTTACTGGAATTCCGGCTCCTGTTGCTGCTTGCTGGATGGTGAAATAGCCTTGCTTGGGGTCTGCAGGAGGCCCAGAGCCCAGCCACTGTGGTGCCCTGAATGAAGCTGGGAAATTCCCATTCTTCAACCTCCTCACAGCCTCACAGCCCCCAGCCCCCAGGCAGGACTCCACTCCTGCATGGAGAGGCTGAAGTTCTGTGGTCTCTTGTCTCATACAGAAACCCTGTGTCCTCACACCAAGGCCTGCGTAAAGAATGACAGCAGGAACCCTGTCCTGACAATGCACAGGTGCCTGCACAGTGAGTTTGTAGGGAGAGGGGGCAGGGAGTAGCCTGGGCTTTGGAGTGGGTGAAATACTGCTTCATGGAAGGGTGTGGCCTGCCATTGCAGGCTCCATTCTGAGGAGAGAGGCCAGGGACCACTCTGACCACTTCTGTCTGGGGCGCCTGCCGCTCAGGCCTGCAGTTTCTACAGACTGGCTCACCATTCCTGCCCTCTTAAGTGAACAGAAAACCTGACATTGTCCTTCCCTCTGTCCCCACTGAAGGGGACTTTCCAACAGCATCCTTGTTTCTCAGAACTAGACACAAGGGGGTTGAGGGAGAGACATGAAGTTCCGGAGCCAAATTAGGGTGACCGGGAAGGCCCGAGGGCAATCCATCTTATGAGTCATGTTTCAAAAGAACAAAGCTTTTGCATGTGTGGACCTGAGGCTGTGGGTGAGCAGTCTCCAGAGCAAGGGGACTGAGATGGCCTGGCCACCACCTCCAACTCAGAAATTACAGTCTTGAAGGGCTTTTAATGTGGGTGCCCTGACCTGATTATAACTAAAACGAATATTGATGTTTGAGAGCATCCCAAGTCTTAGAACAGTTTCACATCCAGATCTGGGGGCTGGGCCTCTCTGTCCCCAGTGGCTGCCTCCCACCCCCATTACTGGGCTTGTCCCATAGACACAGACCCTGTCTCTGAAGTATGAAGAACTTGGGCCATGCTTCATAGTCAGGTGTACCAACCCCATCCAGGCCTTCATTCCTGCTGGCTCATCCTCTGAAAGCCCTCATCCCCACAAAGCCTGGTTCTTCATCTCATGCTGTTTGGGGAAATTTTCAGAGCAAGAACTTCTTGCCCCGCCCCCACCCCAAATGAATCACTTTTTTTTTTTTTTAAGGAGCAGCTGGGCATGGTGTCAGGAACTTTAATCTCAGTACTCAGGCTCAGGAGGCAGAGAAGCAGAAGCAGGCAGATCTCTGAGTTAGAGGCATCTGATCTGGGCCTAGTGGTATGCCCACAACCCTAGCACTTGGTGGAAAGATCAGTAGTTCAAGGCCATTAGCAGTGTAGTGAGTTTGAAGTCAGCATTTAGCAAATGAAAGGTTGAGGTCAATAAGACAAAAATTTGAATAGAAGAAAGTTTCAGCGACAAAGTCCCTCATTTTATAGTCAAGAGTGTGTGTTTGTGTGTGTGTGTGTGTTTGTGTGTGTGTGTGTGTGTGTACAAGCTGGCAAGAGGTGCTTGCTTCCTGAGCCTGACACCTGAATGTGCCTCCCAGAACTCCTGGGAGTTGTTCTCTGACATCAGGTGCACTGCAGCACATATGTGCCTCCACTCACACACTTGTGGTGGTGTGAAAGAAAATGGCCCCAGAAGGTGTGGTCTCATATGCTCAAGTCACACCCAGTATCTCAGCCTACTTCCTGTTGCCTGTGGGGTTAAGATGTAGCTCCTCTACTCTCAGCTCCTTCTCTAGCACCATGTCTGCCTGCACACTGCCATGCTTCCTGCCGTGACAACAGACTAAACCTCTGAAACTAAGCCACCCCAATTAAATGTTTTCTTTTATAAGAGTAGCTGTGGTCATGTTGTCTCTTCACAGCAGTAGAAACCCTAAGGCATGCATCATACACACATAATAAAATAAAAATTTGCTGGGGTTTTTGTTTGTTTGTTTGTTTGTTTTTGAAGCAAGAGTCTTGTGTAGACCATTCTTGCCTTGAACTCCCGATCCTCCTGCTCCATTCCACCCCAAGTGCTAGCACTATAGGTGAAATCCTCAGCACTGTGGATAAAGAGAAGAATGCATTGAAGTCATAGCTATTTGTTAAAAGAAAAAATTGTTGTTTTTCTTTTTTAAGGGCTGAGAAGTTGAACTGGTGGGATGTGTCCTTAGGCCCAGCTACTCAAGGGGCAGAGGCAAGAAACTTGCTTGATTCCTGAAGTTCGAAGTCAGCCTGGACAACATGGCAGTATCCAAAGAGATTTATAAATAAAAAAATAAAAAGCAAAAATCTGTTAGAAGGGAAATGTGCAAATACTACAGTGAATTTAAAACTAACTTGTTGGTGATTTCATAGTCAAAAGTGACACAGAAGAACTTCTAGCTAGAGACGGTGGTACTGGGGGGTCTGCTAGCCCAGGGGAGGCACAGAAGCCCACCTCCTCCAGACTGCCCTTTGTGGCTCTCCATCACTTCTTCCTGAGTAAGCTAAAAAGGTTATGTGGAAGGATGGATTTAGGAATTAGTGAACTTGGGGCTGGAGAGATGGCTCAGTGGTTAAGAGCACTGATTGCTCTAGAGGTAGAGGGCCTGGGTTCAGTTCCCAGCATCCACATGATTGATGGCTTACATTTGCCTGTAACTCCAGCTCCTGGGAATCTTAAGCCCTTTTCTGGCCTCTGAGGGTTCTTGCACACACATGGTGGACAGACATACACTTAGACACACATAAAGTAAATATTAAGAAGTAATAAGCTAACTGGGTGTGTGATGCACGCCTTTAGTCCCAGCACTCCAGATGCAAAGGCAGGCAGAGCTCTGAGTTCAAGACTGGCCTGGATGCCAGCAGTTGGTAGTGCAAGCCTTTAATCCCAGCACTCAGGTGGCAGAGGCAAGCAGATCTCTGTGAGTTCCAGGACAATGAGGAATACACAGAGAAACCCTATCTCAAAAAATAAGTAAATAAATAAACTTGATTTAACAGCTATGAAAAAAACAAATCATTGAAGTATAGCCTAACATTGCCTGTATTGGTGAGCCTGCTCTCTCCCTCTCTCCCTCCTTCCCCCTCCTCTCTCTCTCTCTCTCTCTCATTCCCTTCTCCTTTTCCCTCTCACTTGCTGGGTCTCATGTAGCCCAGGATAGACTCCTCAAACCTACTATGTAGCCCAAGGCTAGCCTTGAACTTTAGGGCCTAGTCTGCCTCTGCCTTCCTAGTGCTATGCTGAGATTACAAGTGTATTCCATTATGCCCAATTTATACCATGCCATCTGGATGGAACCCAGAGCTGCTTTCTGCATGCTCTTAACCATTAAATCATTCAAGCAGAGATTCAAGGACTGCCACAGCCTCCACCTCAGCCCTACAGAGACAAGTGAAAATACCTGGCTGAGGTCGGGCACCTTACACACCAGACATGAATCCCACAAACCTTTGCTGTCATTGGCTCAGTCTGGCTCTTGTCTCAATGGGCCCATAGGAAATGCCCAATAAACATCTGTGTCAAATGAGTAATTTTGCTTCTGTCCTTCCAGACTTCAAATGTCCCTCTCTGGCTGAAGTGAAGGGCTCTGTCATTGTGACTGTGAATTACAGCCCTCTTGCTTCATACCCCGAGATGACCTGTCTACTGCAGGAGATGGAGCAGCTAGTAATTCTCATCCTGTTGTGAAGTAGCATCTCCTTGCAGGGTGGCTTCCTTGATGTGGCACATGGGAATTTTCCCAAACTGGACCCTACTGGGCTGTTCTCTCCCAGGGCTAGATTGCTGGCCCTGGATTCCCATGAGACCCAGGCTCTTCAGCTGCAGCAACAGCTAAGATGCCTGGTGCATAGGCAGGATTCCACAGCCCTAACAATGATGAGTAACAGCAACCATGTAGTGATAGAGGGGGTGTGAGCAGAGGCTTGCAGCCAGGCCTTCTGGTCTTAACCTTCATGCCTCTCAACTGTAAGAAGGGCTGTCAGTGCCCTGGCTCCTCTCCATGCTCCTTTCCTCCCCCCACCTCCCCATACACCCACACTCACACCCACACCCACCTCCCCAGACACACTTCTCCTTTGTAACTACCCTGACGCCTACACCTTCCTGCTATCGAGTTACTGGCCCATAGGCAAGGGGATGGAGAGGCAATGGGCCAGAACCCTGAGAGATTGGCTGATTAGGGTTCTGTGTTGGGTCCCCAGCATCTCCTGTGACCTGCTTTGATTCCTTTACTCCATGGTCAGCTCTGCATCTTCCCCTACCCTGGGCCAAAGCACCAGCCTCCTTGCCTCTCCATCCAGCCTCTGGATGCAGCCAAAAGGCCCTTGTGAACCAAGGCAGTGAGATGCACACTCAAACATTCCATGTCTCGTCACTGCCAGGCTCCGTTCTCTAGCTGGTCTCTGTCCATCTGCAATGGTGTTCTCCTTTATCACAGCACCCCACAACAGTGGCATGTCTGTCCCCAGCATGTACATACAGCCCTTCACTATCACAGGCCTTTCCTATGCCATCTCCCCTTGAAGCTGCTAAAGATATCTCAGCCTCTAGCCCTGAGGGCTTAAGGTCTGTATGGCCCACCATGAGGCCCACCAGGGGATTCCAGGCCTGAGCTCCTACCTGGGAGCTCCCTCAGGCCCTTTGCAGCCCATGGCCCCTGGGAAGAGGGCTGCATATATCCCAAGACGAAGAGAGCTTGTTTGTATGACGTCAGGGTTTGAGAGATGCTGATGAGGGACAAATGGAAGACTAACACTGAGGACCTGATATAACAGGGGCCCGGACAAGGCACAAGCACAACCAAGCAGGGTCGTGGGGCTGGTGGAGTGTGGGGGGACTGCAGAGAAACAGGTTCCTTGCTGATCTGCGAGGCCCCCTAGCTCTGCTTGCTTTAAGCTCCCTAGCACCCTGCTGCCAGAGTCCAAGTTTCCTGTTGTTCTAGCCTGTCATCCCCAGGCCCCCAAGTCCCAGCATTCCTTGGCCTTCCCATTTGTGCTACCAGGCTTTGTTTGTTTGTTTGTTTTGAGAGTTTCTCCATGTAGCTTTGGAGCCTGTCCTGGAACTTGATCTGTAGACCTGGCTGGCCTCGAACTCACAGAGATCCACCTGCCTCTGCCTCTGCTCCCTAGTGCTAGGACTAGAGCAAGTGCCACCACTGCCTGGTACTACCAGGCTTACTCATACCCCACCCCACCACTGGCTCCTAGACTTTGGCTCTCTACCAACCCCATGTCATTTTCTCAAGTCTTCCTGTCATTTTTGGTGGTGCCCTGTACTGGTGCCCTCAGGCCATGCCCTGTATCTACGCATTCCCATGGAGTTCAGGGTGACTGGCTGTCTGTCCCCTCAAAGGGGACAGCTGGGCAAAGGACAAGGATATGGAGGACTAGAGGGTGGTGAGACTAGGGAGTCTTTTAGGCTGTCCATGTCCCTCCATCAGCGCACTGTGGGCATTAAGATTGGCCACTCGAGAGTTTGATGTCTTGACTCTGGGAAGGGCAGAGCAGGAAATGGGAGGGACTGGGGACAGATGGCTTTGGTGAGGCATGGCAGAGAGACTGCAAGAGACTGGGGGAAGTAAGTGCCTACTGGGTCCATCCCCTCTGCTGTCCAAGAGCAGGCTCTAGTTACACACACACACACACACACACACACACACACACACACACACACACACCAGCGCTAGCAATGCACAGCTGTTGTCTGCAGTGACAGTTGAGTGGTTTAATGCAGGAACCACAGGTGAAAGAGGTCTGGGTTTCCAGGCTAGGTTGCAGCTCCACCCCAGTGGTCCCACCCCAGCAGGCAAGGGCGGGGCAGAGGATGCTGCTGCGTCGAGTTTCATTCCAGACTAAGGGGCACAGAGCCAGACTCAGAACTCTGTCCCACCTGCGTGCGGTGGGATATGGGCACCAGGAAGAGAGAGGTCAGAAGTCAGAGAAGCCGGGACAGCCCGATGCCCACACCATGCGTTCAGACACTGTGCTTCGACCCTCTGGTGCGACACTGCGTGGCCTGTAACCTCCTCCGCACGCCAGACCCTCTACACGGTAAGCAAGGCCATGGCATGGGGACTGACAGGACCTGCCCCAAGGTCCCCAGCCCTCCCCTCCGTCACTCCCCCACCCCTGCTAGCTCCTGGGACTGATGCCCCTTTGCTGGTCCTGGAGCTAGCGGTCCCTCGTGGCCCTCACTGCCTTCTCTGTGTCTCCTGTCTCTGTCCCTACCTCGCCCAACCTTCCGTTTTGGTCCCCGGCCCTCCATCTGCATCCCCTTCGCCATCAGCAAGCAGCCAGGTGCCTGGGACGCGGGCGCTGCAACTGCAGGAGTCGGTGGGCACCGGGCCAGGGCCTGACTCTACGCTGCCGCTGCCGGGACTGCTCTTCGGTGCCCCCGCGCTCCTGGGACTGATGCTGGCGCTGGCCCTGGTGGCCCTGGTGATCTGGAGGTGGTGGCGGCAGCGCAGGATAGCTTCCCCTGGCACCCCAGACGGAGTCCAGGAAGGTAAGAACTGTGTCTGGGGGAGTGCAAGGGTGATTGGGGGTGGGGAGTGGGGCACAATTCGGTGATGGGGGGGTCAGGAACCAGGACCCAGGACTGAGGGGGTCCTGAAAAGTTAGCTCTGAGGCTACCAAGTGCTCAGGGGACACAGCACAGCCCAAGTCTGTATCCAAGCAAGGAGACCCTATAGCCTAGGAAGAGATGTTTGGAGATGATAGTATCTACTCTGCCCTTGGGGAGTGCGAGGGGCCTTTATGCCCAGTGGACCGGCCATACAGTGTCCCTCACCTCCTCATCTTATCAAGTCTCCAGACTCAGCACTTCCTGTCCTGAAGACTGGTCATATGCTGTCTCACTTCCTCTACTGAAGGCTGTCCCAGAGGAGGCTTCTAGAACAGGCATTTTTTGGGAGGCTATGATTCAATCCTGAACTGTCTTACCTACCCCAGAGTCCCTGGACAATGTCTTCGTGTCCTCATCGGAAACCCTTCATGCCACTGCTCCCATCTGGCCTATGCCCAAAGAAGATGCAGACACCACCCTGCCGGGCCACAGCATCCCAGTGCCGGCCACCGAACTGGGCTCCACTGAGCTGGTGACCACCAAGACAGCTGGCCCTGAGGAATAGCCACTGTGGAGGGAACCCAGGGAGCCCTATGGGGGTTTGTGGACTCTCACCCAAGGGCTTGGAAGAATTCAGCTCTTCAGGGATGGAGCCCATTGCAGGAGGGAACCCAAGAAACACAGACACTACAGGCCACAGACTGCCACCAGTGCGAGACCACTCTTATGTTAGCTTTTGGTTTGGGAACTTTGCATTTTTGAGATTGTTTTTAAGTTTTTATGCCTTCAAATGGTTGGGTAGGCTTGAGTGTTGTATATTAGTGTTTTTGAAGACTTAGAGACTGGACACTTAACCTCTTTCTACAAAATTTGGGTGGTGGACTGGAGAAATGACTCAGCAGTTAAGTGCATGTGCTATTCTTGCAGAGGACTGTAGTTGTTCGGTTTCCCAGCATCTGTGTCTGGCAGCTCACAACCACCTGTGACTCCAGTCCCAGGGAGATCCAAAACCATTTGCCTCCAAGTTTACAATTGCTCACATATGTACACACACACACACACACACACACACACACACACACACACACTTTAAAATGTTAAAAACAGGGGCTGGGAAGATGGCTCAATGGTAAAGAGTGCTTACTGCTTTTCCAGAGGACCTAGGTTTGATACCCAGCATGTACTTCATGTGACTCATTACTGACTTTAACTCTTACTTTAGGGGATCTCATGCCTCTGAACTCCTCAGACATCTTCATTCACATATACAACCCTACACACACACACACACTTACAAATTATAAAATTCAAGCTGGCCATGGTAGCACAGGCTTTTGATCCCAGTGTTGGAAGGCAGAGGCAGGTGGATCTCTGTGAGTTTGAGGCCAGCTTGGTCTACAGAGTGAGTTTCAGGATAGCCAGAGCTATATAGTGAGACCAAGCCTCAAAATAATAGTAATAAAATCTTTTTTTAATTTTTATTTTTTCTCTTATTATTTTTAGAAAATTAATCTCATTCTGGTGTTTAGAAGTGGTATGCTTGGAAGGTCAGGTAAAGTCATCAGGACAGAGCAATAAGCAACAATGACTACTCCCTGTCTCTGGCCATGTGATGTACTGTGCCAACTCTGGGCTCTACCAGAAAAAGGGCTATCATCAGAGGTCACTCTTGAGCCTTCAGAACTGTAAGCTAAATCAGTCTTATTTCATTGTAAAGTTACTTAGCCTTAGGCGTTTTGTTACAGTACTATAAAAACCGACAAACAAAGGCAGTATGAATAAGAGATTTTCCTTTTAACAGGGAAAGGTGCCATTATACCAAAATTAATCTGAATAAAGGCTAGTGGGAAGATACTTAATCTGTATCTGGGTGTTGGATTTCTTTAATTCTTGCTTTCAGAGCTCTCCTGCTTTGATGCTGTTGCAAGTGACAGCAATGGACTGACGGTTTGACTTTGGTATTTACTACAAGAGTCTCTATAATTTTAGTTTTCATAGCATTGTGGACCAGACCTAAATAAGTTGTCTACACTGAGCTACACCTAACTGTAAGGTAAATTTTTAGAAATCAGCTGGGAGTAGGGGGAGACAATTGGGCTGGGCTGTGCTGCCTTGGGTGTCAGTAACCCAGGAATAACTGTGGATTTCTTTGGCTCAGTCTGCTGGGATAGAAGATGCCATCTTCACCACAATGGCAGTTTTAAGAGACATAGGAAGAAGTCTGTAGTCTCAGGCTGAAGGAACACCATGGTGGTATTCTCCCCCCAGAGAGTACCTGGGGCCCAGTGTCCCCAGAGTATGGCTACTCTGTGGCTTGCAGGGCATTGACCTATAGGACATTCCTTCATAGGGGGAGCCTGGGCAGCCAGTGGCTCTGAAGCAGACTTCTTTGTGGGCAGTTCTCCTCTTTAACTGGGCTTTCTTGGCCAAGCTCATGCTGGCCCTGGGCTCAACATCACCCCCACTCCATGGAATCTGTTCCCTGAGAGTGTGCTCTTTGCTCTGGAGCTGCAAGTCCTCTCCAGTTCTGGGCACACTGCACTCACGGGCAGCCATCATGTCTCCTGCCCTGCCCTCCTCGTGGTGAAGCTGAACTTGTAGCTTGTTGAAACTTGTTACCACTTAGCCTCTGCTGGAAGGAGCACTGGCCTGGGAGTCAGAACTGGAATCCCTTTGTAGGTACTTGCCTGATTTCTGTCCCTGCCTGCCAGTCTCTCTGAGCCCACCACCACTGCCTAGAAGTATTTGCCCCTCCTGTCCACACCATTCCTATTTTAGAAAACAGTATCCAGTGTCATTTAGAGCTTCCAGGACATGGACATTCATTTCCAAGATGCCCTTCTCTCCAGGAAGCCAGGTGAGTAGGATGAGGTCAGGTGTCAAGCAGTAGGTGACAGGTGTCAGTCAAGCCACTGCTGTCTGAGCTGTCCCTGGCCAACTGTATCAGCTATAGCTAGGATCTAGGTTCTAGAGGGGAAAGGACTGTGGAAACCCTGTGGGACCACGGTACAAATATCTGTAATACCTTTTAGTTCATCTAAGCCTCTGGCTGGTACATGCTTTCCCCTCAACCTGTTGCTTTTGAAGAAAGTGGGGAATGGATATAAAATCCTCTTCCTGGTCTCTGTCCATTAAAGGAGAAGGGCTGAAGGAACCCGAGAGAAGTCTCACACATCCCCACTTCACAGATGAGGAAAGTGAGACGTACACAGGGAGAGAACCTGCCATCAGCATCACAGTCAAACAAGAAAAAAGCTCTTTGGGAAAGCCAGGAAAAGCGAGTGGAGGGGGACAAGGAGCAGGGACAGTGTCCCTCCCCCAAGGGCTACACTGCCAGGCAGTGACACCAGTACCCTCCAGTGCCGTCACCATGGGTGTTGCTTTCTGGGGCGTTCCCCATCCATTTTGCACTTTGTTTTCAGAACAACACCTGGAAGGGGAAAGGGACTCATGTTTGATTTAAAAATTATTAAAAATAAGCCAGGCATTTGGGAGGTAGAGGCAGGTGGATCTGTGAGTTCAAAGCCAGCCTGGTCTACAAAGTGAGTTCCAAGACAGCCAGGGGGCTACACAGAGAAACTCTGTTTGGGGGGGGGTGTCAAGAGATTTTGCACAATAGCTGGAAAGAGCAGTGTGATAATCCAGAGTGGAGGCTGGAGACAGCTGACCATGGCCCAAAGCATTAGCCTGTGTGTGCAGGGTCCTTTCCTCACTCACCGCTATAATCATTGCAATCTTAAAAGTTTCCCATCCTGAGTCAAGACAGCTCACTGGGCAAAGGTGCTCAATGCCAAGCCTAACAACCTGAGTTTGATCCCAGAACCCATGTGGTAGGAGGGGAGGACTGATTCCTCCCACAGATTGCCCCCTGACCTCCACAACTGTGCACTGACCCCCCCACACACACACACACACTTTTTCCTTTAACCTCCATCTTGACTGTCACATACAGTAGGTTTCTGTCTTTAAACACTCCCAAATGGACTTTTCGACAGTTGTCAAGTTTTCCATCTGAGCATCTGGTCCTTTGCAGGCTCTGCTGGTGTCACAGGCACAGAAAGCTCCTCCTTCTGCTAAAAACTCTGTGTGGTCTGTTTCCAGGAGAACTGTAGTGACAATGGTCTTGACCTTTCTAATGACCTCTGTGGGTGCTGCCACTTTCCTGATAGTGAGGGACGATTTTCTATCTACAAGGATGATTATGTGGTTCCTTTTGTTGTTGTTGTTTTTGTTTTTTGTTTGTTTGTTTGTTTCTCTGTGGCTTTGGAGCCTGTCCAGGGTACTTGCTTTGTAGACCTGGCTGGCCTTGAGCTCACAGAGATCCGCCTGCCTCTGCCTCCTGAGTGCTGGGACTAAAGGCGTGTGCCACCATACCCAGCAATTATGTGGTTCCAAATACACCACCAGTGATGGGACTGAGTTTTACCGGAGTGCCTGTCCTACCTGGCCTGCCTACCCAACAGGGGTCACCTCCTAGTTAGGTCCTTGGGCTCAGTCACTGATGCTGGACCCACCTTTTGTTTTCATCACTACTCAAAGACTTGTCCGGTTAGTAAGCACGCTGGATGAGCTGGATGAAGTGGGAACAGAGGGAGCAGTCTGACACCCCACCCCCACCCCGCAAGCCTGCTTCAGTCTGGGGTTTCCTCTGGAGGGTCTAGTTTCCCCAAGGTCCCCAGGGACTAACAGGTGGGGACAGAGGGCAGAAGTCTCAGTTCCCCTTGGTGTTTCCTGCAGACCATTTTCACTTCCTGCCTGGCAGCTCCAGGCCTGGGGGCTCAAGGTGGAGGTGGAGACCCACTAATGAAGCCAGATAGAAAGGTCCGCTGAACCCCACCTCTCACACACACAGACCACAGCACCTTCCTTAGAAGTTGGTAGTATGTCTAAGGACTGCCTCGTTATCTTCAAAACAAACACACAAACACTGTGTGTGTGTGTGTGTGTGTGTGTGTGTGTGTGTGTGTGTGTGTGCGCGCGCGCGCGCGCGCGCCTCTATTGGTCCATTGGTAGACTGCTTGCCTAACATTCTTAAGGCTCTTCGTTCTACTCCTAGAACGGCATAAAATTGGGCATTGATGGCTTGTACCTGTAATCTCAGCATTTGGGAGGTGGATACAGGATGAGGCCATCCTCAGCTACATATATCCAGTTCATGAGACTTTGTCTTTAAAAAAACAAAAGAAAGGACTCCTGAAGACCACCCAGTTGTCACCGCGTCCTCCCAAGATTCTGGAGTGCTACAGCCAGGGGAGGGGTGGAACGGATCCCTAAGCTTAAGAGAATCTGGGACCCAGTTCTGTGTGTGTGTCGCCTCCGCGATGGGAGAAAGTCTGTCTGCACAGCTAGTGGAAGTCAGCGCCAAACCACCAGCCGCCGCCTAGGGAGTCAGAATAGAGGGGCGGGGCAGGGCTGGGCCCGCGAGGGGTCAAGGAAAGACCGGGCTAAGGTGGTGGCAGGGTTACAGAAAAGGGGTGTGGCCAGAGGCAAATCCAAGGGGTGGGGCCAAGGGCGGAGACTGATAAAGGACAGGTCGTGTCTTTGACACCTTGTTTTGTTTTGAGAAATGATCTCAAGTAGTCCTGGCTGGGCTAGAACTCGCTGTGTAGCGGATAATGGCCCTGAACTCCTGATGTGGTCAACCCCTTACAAATGATGGTGTTCGCTGCCGTTCTAGGCATTTTTTTTTTCTTTTCGTGGTGCTGAGGATGGATTCCCTTGTGCTCACTAGGCAAGAGCTCTGTCGCGGAGTACAAACCCCTACTTCTAGCTCTCTTCACGAGGGGTCTCTGTCTTCATGCACCTTCCGAGGATGGCGACTGGAGCAAGAGGGGCCTGGATGTGGGCCATCACAGACTTTAGTATGTTGTACAAATAAGAGGGATCGGGACACCCCCCACTCCACAGTTTATGAGCTGACTCGGGTGGAGTTGCCCCATGCTTGGGCAGCCTGGGCTGGAAGGACTTTCCTGAATCGGTGGCGGCGCTGTCTAATTCGCATCCAGCCTTGTTCTCACCAGCTCTGGCCTCTGGAGGCTCTTGAAGGCCACTAATCAGGTGGGTGCAAGCAGAAGGAGGGGGCTACCTGAGCCTCTCAGGCAGGGGAAGGCAGAGGCCTGGATTTCGTGCATAAATATCGGAGCAGGCAGGCTGAATTTCAGCGCCCAGCCCCCTCCCCCAATCCTGCTGTTCCCTTGAGACCTCAGGAGCCCTGTCGCCCCCTCCTTCCCTCCCTCCCACAGGCAGCTGGAGCCTGAGTCATAAGCTGACTCCTGAGAGCAGGAGACAAAGGCAGCCCAGGGCCCTCCCTCCAGACCCCCTCCTGATGCCCACATCTGTACTAGCAGGAAGTCCAACATCCCTAGAACCTCTGGAGGAAATGAAAGAACTTAGGTGTTGCCTTCTGACTTGAGTGGTAGCTGATGTCACACCACTATCTTCTGCAGGGGCATTCCCAGGTGGCTGCCTATACTAACTAGGTGTTTCAGCCTTTTTAGCATCTCCTTGTAGCTCTGTGAAAGAACTGCTAGCTGTTCATCTTGCTGATGAGAAAACTAAGATGTGGACAGATGGATGGATGGATGGATGGGTCCAACCTAGTCAGTATGGTTCCACAGTGAGCACGGACCTCATCATAAGGGAGGAGAAGGAATTCCAGGGAAATGGAGAGAAAGAACAGCCTTTGGCTGCTGTTCCCTGTGCATGCCAGGGAGAAGAAATGCCTCCCTGGGACAGTGGGGGCTCCCAGCTGCTGTATACTGAACTGGCCAATGGCAGGCTTGCAGTATGGCTCCAAGCCAGGCACTGGCTCCTCCTGGCTTTGTGTCAGTCACATCAAGTCACTTCCTCTCTCCTGTTCTTAGGTTTCTGTCTAGTAAATTCCAAACCTTCCTATCCACAATTGTACAGAGTGGAAGTCAAGTCACCTAACAGCTAAGATGGGGACACTGAGGCCCAGCATAAACTTTTGCTAATGTCCCCAGGCTCCCACAGCCAGTCAGGCAGTGAAATGCCCATGTGGGCCCATAGTGCAGGGGAAGACCTGAGAGTCACCCTTGCCCCCAACATGCACTCTCGCTCGCATTCAGAAGCACACTGCACATTCACACACTCACACTCAGCTGCCAGCCCTGGGAGCTGGGGGCGGGGCGGGTGCCCTTCAGGCAGATACTCAGCGCCTCTTGCCCGCCCCGTGGGGCTCACTGCAGATGCCAGGGGTTATTTTAAGCCCGGATCAATGGACGATGTTTTGGTGACACAGGCTTGGGAGGGGAAGAGACAGGGGGTGGGTGTCCCAGAGCCTTGCTGTGATCAGAGATGTTGCGATAAAGCCCCAGGAATCTTGGCAGATTCCATGGCAGGCAAGGGTGACCTAGGGGGGTGGGGCATGCCAGGCAGACAGAGCTCAAGTGAGAAGTTTTATTAGAAAGGGGAGGGAAGGGGGAAGGAAAGAGAAAGAGGTAAAGAGACAGAGAGAGGACAAAGGAGAAGAGGGAGACAGGAAAAGTCCTCTCTGCTCAGGGGAACAGCAGGAAAGAGCGGGAAAGAGAACGAACGTGGGTGGGGTCTTTCTTTTAAAGGGGTCCTTTTCACCTGTATGCAGACTACTTAGCCACGGAACCCTGGGCTGACCAGGGTACTGCCTGAGTGCATTCTGCCAGGTGACAGGGGCAGGCTAGCATAATGCCTGAATCCTTACAAGAGACCCTGGGGTCCAGGGTAAAGGGGTCTTCTCTCCTTCACTGGACTGCATTCTCTTTAGAACCCCTAGCCCAGCTTATGTCATGTTCCTGAAGTGGGGGTAACAGCTGCATGGCTAGTTAGGCCCCAAATCACAGACCAGCTGTGTCTTGGAGCTCACCCTAAGACCACGTGCTCATTCAGACAGGCCTCGAATGTTTGGCACAGACTCTGTAGCTATTGGCACCTGTGGTTGTCGGTTGACCACAGAATCCATGGAATCAGGCTAAGGGTGGGGTGAGGGTTGGACATCAGTCCCTGTGTAGGATGGGGAACTGGAATCAGTGCCTTTGCTGGTGGCCCAGTGGAATCACTTGACACTACAGGTATTTACAGGTCCTGGGGAGTCAGCATGAGGTCAGTGATGAGCAGACACCAACACAACAGGGGTAAGAAAAAGCCCTGGAAGGTATGCAACAAGGGCAGACATAGGCAGACAACATGGCTCCAATGTGCTGCTCAGAACCGGGAGTGGAGAGAGCATCCTCAGAGCCCCTGCAGGTCCAAGGTCAGCTTGGCAGAGTGATAGGAACCTGTTATACAAGGCACAGTTGGTGGCGCTTACCCCATCTTTAGGAAAGCTGGGGTAAGAAGCAGGAAAGGATGCATCAGAGAGCCCAGCTACTGAGTTCTGAACAGAGCAACAAAACCCGAACTAGAAACCAGTCCCAACATAGGTGGTAAAGTGTCATATGCTTTGTGGCATGTTGTCTTGGGTGATGGGATTAAGGCACTTCCTGTCCCTGCCCATCTTGTTTCCCCCACCTTCCAAAGGACAATGTAGAAAGTATTTATGGGGGTGGGGGGAGGTCTTCAGGACTGGCTGGGAGTCACAAGCATATGTGAGCATGTGTATGGTGAGGAGACAGGTCATTTTTAGCAAGGAGGGTAATTGCCCTCATTCCAGCAGTAACCCACCAACAGCCTGTCAGCCCCACATCTCACACAACAGAAGGACTCCATCCTCCTTAAGATGTAAATCCTTCCTCTTCATCCCCCTGCACTCTCCATTTTCATAAGCTGATTCCAGGCTCCAAAGAAAAGGCAGAGAAGGAAGAAGAAAGGGCCCCAGAGTGTCTAAGTTCTTCATCAAACAGGAGTTAGAAGCAAGCATCATTTCACTCATTCAGCAAATATCGACAGGCACCTGAGCCGGGCTGGGAGCAGAGGGACACTTGGGTGAATTGGAAACGTAGTCCTTGCCCTCCTGGTGTCCCCATATGGACATGGAGCAGTAAGTGTCCCGTTAATCTGTCTCCCAGGAGGAATGGACTATGAATCTGCCCTTCAGGAAAAGGTCTTTAGTTATTTCGAGGTTTTTGTTGGTTTGTTTTGGTTTTGAGATAGGGTCTCATATGGTCCAGGCTGCTCTTTTTAATTGGTTTTGATTTTGGGTTTTCAAGACAGGGTTTCTCTGTGTAGTTCTGGTTGTTCTGGAACTTGATCTATAGACCAGGCTGTCCTCAAACTCAGAGATCTACCTGCTTCTGCCTCCTGAATGCTGGGAATAAAGGCGTGTGCCACCAGTGCCCTGCTTGGTCTTGAACTCCTAACCCTCCAGTTTACAGGTATGCACCACCAAACCCAAATTGCTAGCTTTCTTTCCTTTTTTCTTTTCTTGAGGCAAATAGACCAATTCAGCCTCAAGCATCCCTCCTTAGTGATGTGACACTATTTTGTTCTGTTTGCATTTTGAGACAGGGTCTCAATATGTAGCCCAGGCTGTTCAAAGTTGTAGGCCCAAGTGGTCTTCCCACTTCAGCTCCCAAGTCTTCTTCATCAGTGCAGGGACAAGAAAAACCTTTTGATTTCAACAGTAGCTATGAAGGCAGGAAAAAGCAAGACCCAGCATCAACTTAACTGGAGGTGGGGTGGGGACTCTGAGCTATGACCTGCCATTCTTTCCCTTGGCTTGTGAGAGGACATGGGAGTGAAGGAGTGTGTGTGTGTGTGTGTGTGTGTGTGTGTGTGTGTGTGTGTGAGAGAGAGAGAGAGAGAGAGAGAGAGAGAGAGAGAGAGAGAGAGAGACCAAAGACATACAGGGTGTGCATCTGGCCTGGTCCTCAGGGCCTGGCCAGTCTTCTAAGGCCTCTGCCTTAGGGGAGGAGAGCAGACCACTTCCCAGGGTGATCTTGAGGTGGCCAGCTCAAGTGGGCTCTGGCCAGGCTGTGCCTAGAACTGGGACATCCCAGGACCCCAGTCAAATGTCCAGGATTTGGAATCAGGACACATGCTCTGGGGCAGACCAGAGAGGGGTTGATCCAGGCTTCACTCTTTGCCATTTTAGTGCTGTGAGTCCTTATTGTAGAAGGGGAAACGCCCTCTTCACTCATGTCACCATCAGGATCAGAACAGATAGAGGGTAGGAACGTTGGGGCGTGGTGGGGGACTGGGTTGTCACCCTTCCTGGCCTATTCCAGGTTGCTTTGATCTTTATTCCTCTCTTTGTACCTTACTTTGAAAGAAAGAACCGCTCATCTAAGGCCACTGAGACCCGAGTCCCCAGAGCTTTTAGCTGAGCCCCCTCTAGGGTCCAATTCAGACAACTTGAGGGAGGACATGGAGAGGGTCCCTGGCGGTGGGAAGCGCCTGCAGCGTTGGCCCTAAAGAACCCCTCCTTCCTGGGCGCAGTGGCCGCGCTCCTCCCCCGGTTCTGCCTCCCTCCCGTCCTCCTCCCCTCGCTCCCTCTCCCGCCCGCGCCGAGCCCGCGCCGAGCCCGCGCCAGAGCGCGGGCAGCGCAGAGCGGGCGGCGGGAAGGCAGCGGTGTCCGGCGACCCGCCGCCCGGCTCAGTCCCCAAAAGACACAGGCCCCGCACGCCCGCCGGGGCCAGAGGCAGCCGCTGGGGACCGCGCAGACGAGCACCCGCCGCCCGGCTCCACCGTGAGCAGTCCGAGGTGAGCCCGGGAGGAGGGCGCGCCCACCGGAGGAGGTCCAGCCCCGCGCACTCCACACCGAACACACTTGTGTCTGGAGCCGCGGACCTACCAGGAGGCGACAGCCCGGAGCCAGCGCGGACAGCTGGGAGACCTGTCCCGGAGGGCGCTGGGGAGCCGGGCAGAGCGGCCGCGCGCCGAGACATGCGCCGGGCGAAATAACAGGAGGTGCGGGCTGCATGGAGCGTGTTGGGGCACGGGGACAGCGCGGTGCCCGGCGCCTGCATGGGCTCCCGCTCGCTTTCCGGCTGGTGTTGCTGCTGGCTGGGTCGCCGTCGGGCCGCGCGGGGGCTCCCGAGGCGCAGGAGCCCGCATCGTCCGGCACCGTGGCCCCGGAGGGAGGCGACCGCTGCCGCGGCTACTACGACGTGATGGGCCAGTGGGACCCGCCCTTCAACTGCAGCTCCGGTGTCTACAGCTTCTGCTGCGGCACGTGCGGCTACCGCTTCTGCTGCCACGACGGCCCGCGCCGCCTGGATCAGAGCCGCTGCTCCAACTACGACACGCCGGCCTGGGTGCAGACTGGCCGGCCGCCCGCCCGCGCCCGTGACACTGCCGCCCCGCGCGATCCGGGCCGCGAGCGCAGCCACACTGCGGTCTACGCGGTGTGTGGTGTCGCCGCGCTACTCGTGCTGGTTGGCATCGGGGCACGCCTGGGCCTGGAGAGAGCGCACAGTCCGCGCGCTCGGCGCACGGTGACCAGGTGAGCTCATCCTCCGACCCGCCGGGTCCTCACTGTCCCACGCTGGGTCCAAGTTACCCTGCAACTGCACACTTCTCAACCCCTACCACCACCACCCCCCAGTAAGTCTAGGCCTCCCGGCAGCCCCCTTCTCCTTTTTGTTTTCTCCTTCTAGGGTTGTCTCTCTTGACCCCCCCCCCCCCTCCTCCGCAGGAGACACCTGATATCCTCTCCCTTGACCTTCCCTGCCTATACTGGTCTCTGGGTCGTTCTCCTTGTAGTTCTCTCTAAACCTCCTCTACCTACGGAAGAAAAGTCGAGAAGTCGGCGTCCAGGGGAGGGGGCACGGACGACGGCCAGGCAGGACGCAGGACGCGGACTGGGGCAGTATTGAGGGTGGTCCTGGGTGGAGAGAAGAGAGAGGGTGGTGCCTGGTGGGTTCCTCTGCTGCTCTCCCATTTCTCTCCTCCCTCCTCCCACCTCCATCCATTTTCTCAACCCAGTGTGACTCAGACCTGACCTTCATTCCTTGGAGTTTCAGAAGCATCCCTTCAATAGCCCCCAGGCAAAGGTCTGAGTCTCCAGTTGCTCAGCTGGGACTCCTGCGAATGAAGTAGAGACCTGTGTGCTTCAGAGACCTGCCAGGTGCTGGCTAAAGTTTTAAACTTGTTTTGAGTTTTGCTGAGATTCTGTCCTTAATCTGGAGCTCACTCCACATCCTGCACTTCTGCTACCAGCAAGTCCCATGTTCCGCTTGTGCGCTCCCTACCCACCCACATCCCAGCCTGGTCAGACTGTTGACACCACATGCAACAGGCTGCAACTGTGAGTGACAGCAGAAAGAAGCCCCCCCCCCCATGCCTGGGACCAGTTATGGCTGTCTCAGGGGCTGAGGATGAGATTCATTGCCACCAGATCACTTAGCCCATCTCTTCCAGGCAGCTGGAAGGCAGGAGGCCAGGATCTCGTATTTCTCCCCTAGCTACTGAATTACCGGGCGTGGGTGGTTAGCAGGGGGTTCTGAATGCTGCTGGAGGCAGAAGCTCAGCCTCTGACTTTGGGCATGCAGGGCAGAGGTAGCTGTGGTGGGAAGTCAGAGAAACAATGTGCGATGAGACCCATTGCTGTAGGGGCTAGTCCATAGCTGACTTGTTCATTTGCAACACCTGTCTGCAAGTTCAGATTTGGTTATGTGCCCCTAACAGTGTGCCTTGGACTCCCATCTTTGTGCTCCTAGATGAGTGTGTTCTGAACCCCTGCCCAAGTTTCTCTTTAATTCTGCTGTGCTGACAGGGATGGCTAGAGGAGGCTTCTCAGAGGGCTTGGAGGGGATTGGAGTCAGGCTTTGGTCTGTGCAAAGGCCCAGGGACATGGCAATTCCTCATTTGCTTGGGAGAGCTGAGTTATCAGTGCTTGCCCTGTAATGGGATAACTGGCATGTGCCACTGAGGCATGGGGAAAGGGAGGCTCAGCTCAGGCAGGATGTAGACCCTTTTAAACCCTGCCACCCCACAGCTAGCCCTTGGCTACCTCAGGTACCTCCCAGTGTGCCTCTTCATTAATCAGTCATAACCCAGCCCCTGAAGGAGGGTCAAGCAGAATAGGAAAAAATCATGGGTTCTGGGTACTGCTGACAGCTGGGTTGAAGGCCGGGCTGCCTATGGGAAAGGCTCAGTCAGACACTGTCACAGCTGGGTGGGGGTTGGGTATTCTGGGTACCCAGGGAGGCAGCTGCCCAAGGTCACACAGCCTTTGGGTGCAGGGCTGCCACAGAAGGATCGTGTGGCTCCTTTTTTCTTCATTGTCTGCCTTCCTCGCCTGTGTGACAGCTAGGTCCCAGGCCCAACAGAAACCCACTCTGCAGGGGTGCAGATAAGGGAGAATTTGGAGGAGGGATTCTGGTAGCATCTTACGGAATAAGAATATAGGAGAAGATGAAGAGGATACTGATGAAGAGAGCTTGGTTGGGACAGGAAGCTCAATAGGAGCACAAGGTGGCCCTAGTTCCATATGACCTCCTTACTTTCCTGACCTGCTTTGGGAGATGGCCATTTTGGGCCACAAGTGAGGCTGACAGTTCATTCCTGGTAGGGAAAATGAGATATCCAAAGTCAGTCACTAGAAAGAACAGAAGGGAGGCCCAGAGAGGCTCAAAGAATAGCCCAGAGATACAAAGTGAGCCCATGGGGGACTGGAGAGATGGCTCAATGGTACAGAGCATTTGCTGCTCTTTCAGAAGACCCAGGTTCAATGCCTACATGGTGGCTTATAAAAGTGCCTCTCAGCCTGTGGACTGAATGACCCTTTTGCAGGGGCTGCCTAAGACTATCAGAAAACACAGCTATTTACATTATGATTCATAACAGTAGCAAAATTAGTTATAAAGTAGCAATGAATATAATTTTATGGTATTCAAGGATCACAAACATTAGGAAGGTTCAGAACCACTGTCCCATGACTATCTGGAACTCCAGTTCCAAAAATATGATGTTCTCTTCTGGCCTCTGAGGGCACCAAGCATGCATGTGGTACACAGACATGCATGCAGGCAAAACACACCTACATATAATAAAATAACTAAAAACCAAACAAAAAAGTGAGACAGTGGTGGCTAATGCCAGTCTTATCTGGCTGATGGAGAGGCAGGGGGCTGCAAGTCCCTTCAACATCTTTCTTTCTCCACAGGACACTGACAGAACTTCTCAAACAGCCAAGCCCCCAGGAACCACTGCCCCCACCTCTGGGTCCACCTCTGGGTAACTGTGTTCAGTTACAAATGGGTGATGGTGTTCTTCGGGGTTCCTCGCACAACACAGGTGAGTAGGCTTTTGGATGGGTGTTGGATCCCATACATACAAGGCAGTGGAGGGGGTGGGAATGGGGCAAGTTGGGTTGTTGGCTAGGGAGCAGAGGTGGACCTGCTGCCTGCCATATATAAACGAGGGGTCTCCTGTGCAGGAGAGTGATTGGAGTCTGGACAAGCCCTTGATGGAGAGGAACCTTCCTGTAGCCTCCTGTCTCCTGGGCAAGGAAACTGAGAGAAAGGCTCCAGGTTCAGGATATACTGGCTAGGGCTATGTATGGTTCAAGGCTCTGGCTCATGGGTCTAGAAGCTACCTCTAGATCTTCGTGGTGGTTCCCCTACCTTCTACATGTCGGGATATGGAGTTCAGTGCCCCTCCACCTCTGTAGGTAGCGGTCCAGGGATTTAGTGCCTTGCTAACTAGTGAGCCATCCATTAGGGTAGCACCTAGGGGGCGCTTGCTGTCACATTCATGTTTTTGTGAGCCAAGCGAGGAGCTGCTGTTGGGTAGGAGTTGAGAAGAGGTGGTTGTGCAGGCAAGGTCATCTTGCTTTCTTTACTCCCCTCCCCCCAGACAAGAAACGCCTCAATAATACGCCTCTGGGATCTGCCACCCCGGGAACCCCGCGCGGCCCCCGGCTGCAGGGTGGTGGCAGCTTGACGTTGCAGCCAGACTACACCAAGTTCGCTACTCTCAAAGCAGCAGCCCTCAAGGCCACAGGTGAGGTGCATGTTGCTGGTGCCAGTTCCCCAGAGATACTGCGATACTACCTTCTCGCCCTCAACGGCAGTCGGCTTGGCCAGTCTGAGCTCAGGACGTCCCCAAGTAGCCAATTGGCTCCCTCTTCAGCTCCCTCCTCCCAGTCTCCTAAGGCAGGTGCTGCGCCGCCTGACCAGCTCTGCCCTGTCGCCCCCCACTCCACAGAGGCTGTACCCCAGGACTTCTATCAACGTTTTCCCTCTACCGAGCCGGCCCCACGAACCCTCCCTGCGCGGACCGCGCGTCCTCCGGAGGACTTGCCTGCACTGCTAGATGCCTGTCCCTGGGCCCCTCCACGTTATGTACCTCCTGCTGGCCCCGTCTCATCGGTCCCCTATGCAGCTTGGACTGCGGGCCGCCCCACGCGACTGGTCCCCCGTGGCCACTTGGTGGCTCAGGTCTCCCCTGCACCCCGGCGGTCCAGCCACATGCCACGCCGCCAGTTCAGTGTGGAGAAGCTGCCTGAAGCCTTCAGCGCACAGCCTGCCACCTTTTACAGCAGTGTGGGCAGAGGGCCCAGACACCTGAGCACCAACAGCAAAGCTGAAGTCACTGTCTGAAGTGGAAACACTGGAGCCTTCTGCGGGGTCTCGGGCTGGGGCTGTGGAACGGAAGTGCTGGCTTTCGATCCAGATGGGACTGGGGACATTTGGAGCCTATGGCAAAGGGGGCCAAAAGGGTAGGACTATTCTTACCTGTGTAAATAAACCCTCTAATGTAGTTCCTGCCCCAAGGGGATCATTAGTCATTGACTGAACGAGACAGAAGTGCCACCCAGAGAGGAGTGGTCAGAGAGGATGGCTGGGTTGAATGCCAAACATTGCTCAGAGCAGAGGGCACCATAGAAGACAGCAGATATGCCTCAGTAATCTTAAGGTCTGGGTTCAGGGGAGAGGGCTTGTTGGACCCCCGTGGGGGTCCATGTCCTCTACTAGAAGCTAGCTCCTCTCCACCCTGCAGCTGAACTCTCACTCAACAGTTTGAGTTAGCTCAGCCTGGCTCATCCTCACAGACATAGTCTGGCCCCAGGCCAGCTCCTGGCTAGCAGGCTGCTTGGCCAGATTGGCCCAGGGCCACCCCCCTAATGGGTGTGGGCCACATGGACATCTGGTGCTCAGGATAGAGGAGCCTAGCCTCCTCCCAGGAGCGGCTATGGGGTTAGGGGGATGGAGATGTTGGAATGAGAGCCTAGCAATGCCCCTCCCTTGGGGTGCTCCCGCTGCACCGGGTTAGCACTGCCAGCTCCCCCCCTTCCTGACAGAAGCTCCCAGTACTTGGCTGAGGCCCAGGGACTGTCATTGCCTCTCTGCATCTTTCCCAAGTTCCTCAGTCCCAGGTTCTGGTGTGTGGGAATACCCTAGCTATAGCCAGGTGAGGTGTATGACCTTCCTGCACTCCTGGGGATGGCATACTGGTACCATTTATGCTGTCTCATATCTAAGAGACCAATGGGGCTGTCTACAGATAACGAAATCAAGGTTTTGGGACCTAAGTGCCTTGACTAGGGTCACTCAGGCCACCTGCCACATTGATGCAGGCCTTGGCTGTGCCAAGCATGACCCTCTGCCCAAGGCCAAGGGCAGAGGTCACTACAGAAATGCTGACCTGAGCCTCCTGGCTGTTTGAATGAATCTTCTGCCATGTAATCAGCTGTCAGTGCACTTTAGGGTGTGGTTCAGGGTTGTTCCTTGGCCAGAAGAGAAAGACTCAGCCATACACTAAACAGTTCAGCCTCAGACTCATTCTAGATGGAATAATCCACTCTACCTCTACCAAATACTGCATGTGGTCTTGCCACCCACCTCACCAGCTTCACAAAGCCATACGCTGGCGCTTCGTGCCTGTCACATCCCTCTGATCTGAACAGTAAGCCCGTGGTGCTAAGTCAAAGGCAGGGGTTAGCCATCCCATTCTGCATACATGCAAGTGGAGGCAAGAGGTCAGTTCACCAGAGTTACTCGCCTGGGAAACATAGGAACTACACTTGTATGTGGCCATCAGATGGTGAGCTGTTTAGGAGGACCCTGCCTCCAATAAGTGGAAATGAAGAAGTGGCCCACATGATGGAGGAGTGACTTTACACCTCAAGTTCCAAAGAGCTGCTACTGTCAACCAGCCAGCCAGCTGAATGGCCAGGCAAGGGGCTAGAACCTGGATAACCGCTCTTTTATCCCAGACCCTCACCCATCTCTAGAGTGTGTTGGGTAGGTCTGTGGGCACAGTAGGACCATCAGATTGCAGCTACCTGGCTGTCCTTAGTCCCTAGCTCACTACTGGCCAAGTTATGCAGTCATTTGGTTAAATCACTGTAAAGGTCATGATACAGACTCACACAACCTCGTGTTAGGTGGTACCAATCTGTGTTTATTGAATAACCTATGTCCAGCACATGGTGAATGTTTCAACATCAAGGAAGACATAGGTGTATCCCCTGTTCAGTGAAAAACCACCCTCCCGCCCCTAACAAGGAGAAAAGGCACAGTATATACACAAGACATAAGGGCTGGGCTGCCCCATCAGCAGGGGCCATAAATTACAGTGATAGTTGGCGAGAGACGGGGTAGGACAGGTGGGGGCCCACCTCTGCCTACTCTCTGCTACAACCAGCCTGGAGGGATGAGAAGCACAAAGAGGGAGGGCTCCTCTCAAGTCTCTCAGGAAGCCCTGAACCAAGCAGTCCAGAAAAGGAGGACCACTCCCCCATCTCAAGGCAAGAGACCTGATTCCTGCTACCTACGCTGAAAAAGGAGAGGCTTGCTGCTGGGGAGGGCTTGGACCAGTGTCTGCTGCCCCGGCCTATTCACAGACAAGAATTAGGGATAAAAATACACTCTATGGGAGGTAGGAGTTAGGATGGGGGTTAATAAGGAACAAATAAATCATGCTGAAGACCCCTGGATCCTAGGTCCAGTGGTGGCTTCATCCTGTCCATCCCTTTGGACCTACCCTGAGCTCAGGCTGCCATCTCAGGGGGTGGAGGAATGGGAAGGAACAGGACAATTAAATAAGATACCATTTATTTTTTTAAAAAAATTAAAAAACAATGCCAACATTATTTCATCCTAGACCTGCCCCTGCCTCCCACCCACCTCCCCAGGACTGGGCTCCCTTCCTTTCCTGGCTGTCCCTTGTGATGATGAGAAAACAATGAACAGGCTTAGTCAGGCACAGGGAAGGGAGTAAAGACCCAGGGAGAAATAAAGATGCCACAGCAACTTTGCCCTGTATTGTGGCAGGCCCAAGCACACACATATAAAAACATTTGTATAAAAAGGGGCATGCCAGGTAAGTCCAGAATGCAAAATGCTCTCTGGAGCACAGAGACCTAGTTCCCAAAGAAAGCCTAATAAAAACAAAAACAAAACATAACAAAAAACCAGAGGCAGAAAGGAAGACACTCAGAGTCTCCAGGGGGCTAGGGAAGGGGCTCAGCAGCACCCTATGTTGCTTTCAAGTGAGGAGATCACCCCATTCCTGATCAGGCCACCTTTCTTCTCAGCCCACCCGGGCTTAGACCACAAGACATTTACCATAGCATCTATAGGTGCCTTGCCCATAGTCCTACTGGCCTGAAATGATCCCAAAGCCTTGGCAGGTGACAGCTCAGAAAGTCAGTCCTGCCTTCATCCTCACAACTCTTGGAGAAGGGAGAAAAAGAGATGGGGAGACAATCTGAGGGAAGAGGGAAGATCTGGGAGAAAGAGACAAAGGTGGAAAGAAGTGGACCAAGCCCCACATGTGGTCAGGAGGCAGCGATGGCAGTTCCACCGCCCAGCTTGACAATCATCTGCTGGCAGTCATTGCAGGAACGTCGGTCACCCACCTTCTCCAGGGTGCGGGCAGCTTCGGCCAGCAGCACTGCTCGCTGGCCCGGGGAAGATAGGAAAGAGAGGGGAAGATGGCGGCAGGCCAGCAGGATGGCAGTAGCTCGCTCTCGTTGGCCAGGCCAGGTGTCTACCTCTCCTGTGGGAATGAGATTTATGTAAGCATTGTCCCAAGATCTTCGTGTGACCTCATTTGTTGAACACACCCCCTCATCCTGCGAAGAGGTGTGTTCTGCTCTCTCCCTAGTCCTCCTCACACAGGACAGAAGATGAGCTGGGCAAGCATCCCATCCAGACACTCTGTGGGCTGAGATACTCAAACCCATGCAACTTCCATCCTGCTCTTGCTAACACCATTCCTGCCCACCTAGTCAAGCATGTAGAGCACACTGCCAGATGCCAGGGCTCCATCCTCCCTGCTCCCTCAAGTGTAAGGCCATACCAGGCCTGCAGCAAGGGAGCTACTATTCTCACCGTGCTTGGTGTTCTGACTGGTACGCCGCCGTAGGCTATGCTCCAGCAGCTGGTGTGTCCGGGTGGGGCTGGCTCCTGCCATTAAGCGCACAGTTGCTTCATGCAGGAACACCTGTGAGGTACAAGAGCCTCAGTCAAACTCTTGGGTTCTGGCCTGTCTAACCCCAGTGACTACTTCTCCTCCAGCAGTCTCCTCTGCTCCCTGATGCATCCCTCTTTTCTTCATACCACTCTGCTTTCTCAATCCTAGAAAGCAATGCATCTTGTCCTCAAGCCAAGCTAGAAACAGCAAGAATGGGGACAGAGCACAGGCCACCCAATGGGCAGGAGCATACTAGATTGAGTCGGAGGCAAGTGGCAGCTTGACCTGATGGCAACAAAGCCCCGAGGTACCCTCTAGGGTTTGCAGGGTAGTTTGGGAGAAGCCTTTTCCTTGAAGGCTGTGTCCCAGTCACACAAAAGGACAAAGGAGGGGAGAGGGATGAGGGGGAACAGCTAGGTTGGTATCAAGTTCAGTATCTTATTTCTTCAGAAAGGAATAGAGTCTAGACTCACAGTCTTGTTTGACCCTTTGACACTGCAACACAACCTGTCTTCTACAAGGGTCATGTTCAAGACAGTCCAATAAAGTCAGTCCTCCCTTCCCCTTTGGCAAAAGATCACACTCAAGGAGTCTCATTTTATGTTTATGGTTTTTTCCTTTTCTTTTCTCCTTTCCTTTTTTTTGGGGGGGTGAGGGGTGGGGGACAGGGTTTCTCTTTGTAGCCTTGCTATGTAGACCAGACTGGTCTAGAACTCAGAGTCTCACCTGCCTTTGCCTCCTGAGGGCTGGGATTAAACACACCACTATTCCTGGCTCTTAGGTTTATGATTTTGTATTGAGCCACTCATTGTTCTCTTTGGTCACAGGTGGGCTATGTTTCCTGGGATAAGTCAACAGCTTTTTTGTTTGTTTGTTTGCTTGTATTTTGTTTTTGAGAAAGGGTCTTACTGTGTAGTCCTGGTTGGTCTAGAACTCCCATTATAGACCAGCTGGCTTCAAATTCAGAGATCCATCTGCCTCTGCCACCCAAGACCTAGGATTAAAGGTATGAGCTACCGTGCCAGCTCAGAAACATTATTTATTTTGTGTGTGAGCATGAGAGTAAAGCCACATTATGCATGTGGAAGTCTGAGGACAACTTGTGGAAGCTGGTTCTCCCTGTCTACTATGCAGGTGCTGGGGAACTGAACTCAGGTCATCAAGCTTGATAGCAAATACCTTTTCCTGCTGAGCCATCTCACTGGTCTAAACTAGCAGCTTTTAGGTAAACAGAATCACTGGCCCAGGTCTAGGCCTCTAACTTGTTTTTCTTTCTCCAGTAGTGGAGATAGAAACCAGGGCCTTATACATGCATG